ACCAGCTTCACGTTATCTATAAGGGCATAGTTATCTCAAGTTTTTTAACCTGAATTTCACTTCACTAATAATTTAAGAAGATTAGTAGTCAAGCATTTGCAGTTACTACTCTCTCTGTTTACACAGCTCGAGTCCTCTCCCCCATGGAAGCAGGCAGCAGCAGCATCCCCAAGGAACCCCGGGGGGATTTCTGTACTTCACTTTAAAGATTAACCTTTAAGCGCAAGATTTGCAACTTGATTTGAATATTAAAAAACTAACACACAATCATTGTTAAAACAAGCAAAACAAAATCATGGGGATTTTTAAAGTGTCGATTTACATCTCTTGCAGGACTCCTCAGACACTCCTCATTCACTGGCACTGCTCACATTAATAAACAAGACTTTGATGCCACTTAGACTGTTTACTACATGTTGTTTAAGCAACAAATTAAATTTTTTCCCGGATCACCACAGTTAAACCCTTCAGAAATAATTATTATTAATTAGACTATCTCAAAAGTGAGATGTTGGTATTTACTAGAGCACACAAGCAGCTTTTTTCAGAAAACCTAGTTTGTCAGAGTAATTTCCCACATTGATCTATGGACCCTGGATATTTTATTTTTTGCTGCACACACAGAATAAGGCAATATTACAAAAGAAACATCATTCTGCTCAGACTATTAGATAACGAAGTAGCAGCATTTGCAAACTAAGCTTTCCTGTTGCGCTTTACAAGAAGATCAAGAGCTGTACGCTTCGGATACACCTATTTTATCAGTACCACAATGGCCTCAAATGAGGAAGAAAAGCAACTGCTTGCATTCCTTTAATGATCCTTTATACAAGTTCAAAACTTCAAAACTGCATTTGTGCCTCTATCTGCATTTTTTGCATGCTGCAGTTTTTACCAGAATATCCTGACATAGCGCTGTTTTGCCAACCAAATTACGTGGAAAGGAGGCACAATACTGCTTTGCCAAAACTGTAACAAAACAATGCTTTCAAACAGTATATTATATAACATATTCATTTTAATGTCCTTAATCTTTCAGGACATCATATAGACACAGTCCACACAAAGTTTATATAGTTCTACTGTTAAAATAAATATCAAGACACTTCAGAAGAAAGATCTTTTATATGACGATGGACCACCAGCCTGTTTTCCCTGCATGGCACCACTTAAACTATATTTATGGGCTAAGCTTCATTCAACAGCAAGCATCTTGAAAGGAAAACAATCATTTGGAAATTTCAGACCCACCCTTCGGAGTTCAACAGGCTTTACCTGGACAAATAAACATTAAAGCTCAGGTCGCTCTTGAAATCACAAGCCAGAATTATGCGCTGATGATATTAGGCCATAGTTTGCCATGTATTTAAATCAACACTGCTGAAGAAAAAAAAAAAAATTCCTTTTCCATGCAGTATTAGCAGAAAAAAAAAAAATTCAGCTGAATCACTCCCTCAAACTAGTTCACAACATAGCTGCACAAATGCTTGTGCCAGCAAGGAGGGAGGGTAGAGAAGTGACAAAGAATGGATATGAGCATCAAGAAGGGAACAGCTTTTCAACAGTGGTGCCAGCTTAAACGTGTGTCAAACTGTGGCTGTAAGCACAAATTCTAAGTAGTTCACACTGTAAGCAAATGGACTTAATCATAATGAAAAATCACAAACAAAAAGCACAGATTCTGTAACAGAAATTTTCAATTCTGAAATCAACAGAGTATTTCAAATGACTGAAAGGGTTGGCATTTATTTTTCTGAGTTTAATAAAGAATTCTAGGGATTGCATAAACTTTGGGAAAATAAATTAACATCAACCTTGCACAAAGATCATTAGTAAGTACTCCTGATCTCCATAAACCCCTCAGAGAATGCAAATTATGATAGCAGCAGGAACAGAGTACCGCCTTGGTGATCACCTCTATCATAAAACCTCATGTTCAAGCTTGCTTGGTGTTGCAACTAAATATTTAGTTACAAGGAGTCATTGTAACATATTAGTTTGCATATAACACTCAAAGTCTACTTGAGTAGCAATTCCTAAATCAGAAATTCACTTTCAAGCACAGCACGCCGTAAGCAACATCTGCCCCACTGCTGCAGAGACAAGCATCCTCCCAGTGCCGAGAGCACTCACAGTCACAAATTTCCTAAGAACATCCAGCACCTCAATGGGCCTCCCAAGCAACTTGGCTTGAGTGAAATCTCTTCTAGTTAATTTAAAACCTGACTCCTCAAACTTCACAGATTTACAGACAACTCTCAATCCCTTCTGAAGATGAGAGCTCTTTTTGCTTTCTACAAATTCGGAAAGTAAGGTGTGGGTTTTTTCTCAGCTGCAAATTACTATAGTGACATCTTAAATAATGTTCTTGTTGCTTCTATATCTGAATAGCATGATAAAGCACCATACTAAGAGATGCCACTCCCAATTTAGCAAGCTGGTACGTTCACGTGTGCAGTACAATGCTGTACAGACACCAGCTCAAGTTTCGAAAGCAGAGAAGGCAAATCAGCCCGCAGCGAGCTGGAGGTGACGTAAGGGGACTCCTTCCAGCCTGACAGCTCGTCCACACATCCCCCTGCATCGCGTTCAGCCCCACCATACAGACATGACCCCAGGAGCCTCAGCTAAATACCCCTCCACTCCTGCATCTAACAGCCCAAGTAAGAACAAATAAGTTGCTAAGGGAAAGGGAAGCATCCCGGGGTTCAAGTAAGAAATGCCATTATGGAGAAACAGCCTGTGGCCTTCAGGTCCCGAGAGCAGGCAGCATCTGCTGCCTCAGGATGAGGTACAGAAAAAGCAAAATGGGACTACAGGAGCAGAGGAGGGTCTTCTCTCAACCCCACCATATACTTCACGGCACATTAAGGTGGTGTTCAGCGTTACACACATAAACAAATCCCCTCCCTTCTTATTTAACAGGTAAAATACCCACACTAACTCTTGGCCTAACTGATAGCCCTGACATCAAATTTGACAAGTTACATACACACCAAAAATTGTAAGAGAGAAATACATTTAGAATTCCACACTTATCAGACTTCCCCTTGCTTTTTTTAGAAGATAGTAGATTAGCCAGTACAGTTTTCATCTCTCTGTCCTGCTGTTTTCTTTAATTGCATACCTCAAAATTGCCTCTAACACATATAATATTTTGTCATTTTCAGGCATAGCAACCATTCCAATAATTATACTTGTGATGTCATTTCGGCTTATGACTTCACACACTGAGATGAATTTTCATAGACCTTCCATCAACACCGCCTGGTCCTCCCTCACCTCTTCCCCATTAGGCAGCCCAAGTTTAAACCAGCCAACACACACAAATTGCAGTGATTTCCTTCCAGCAAGAATTGCCTTTCGTGTACTAAAACTTAAACACATAGGTCAGCAGAAAAGTTTCTTTTTATCAAGCACCTTTGAGATCCTCCTTTTTCTCCAAACACTAGGTCTGCTGTTTGATTGTTAGTGATTTGGTAAAGTTTCTGCTTTTGCCAAAATAATACATTCATGACCAAGGCACAGTCCACCAGCTCTAAACACAAACTGTGATTATGCAACAATATTTTCTTCACATGGCAAATGTCTACTGTGACTACTAGGTGATCCAGTTTCACTTCACAGTTCCTTGCAAAAACTCAAGCGTATGTCCAAACCCCAAGTATACACTAAATATTTTTACTTGCTCTTCTCTTCTAAGACTAAAAATAATTAAGTAGCTTTGTTCTTGGGAACTGTACCACTTAATTCCATCATTTTCTTCCAGGTATTTTGAAAAACAGAACCTGTAAGCTCACTTCAGTTGAGTAAAAAATTTCACTCATGAAAAATGAGGTCAAAGCAGTAAGTTTTTTTTCCACAAGCCACAACACTCTTTAGCAGTGCAGCTATTTAAAATGGAGGGGAAAAAAGAGGACCAGGGAGGCCATGGACACATCGGAGGAAAGCACTACAGATACTAAGATTAATTACTTGTAACAGTTATTTTATAGAGACTACAGTTAGCTAAGAACAAAGACGACAGAAGTATCAGGAAAAACAGAAGTAATTAAATTAGCTGCGTATTTTGCAAGAGGAAACAGTGGGTACAGTATAACATCCATGAACTCGAACATGCATTTATTCCTGGCACTGCATCCCTAAAACATTACGCGCCTTTCTGCAAAACTTGGCATCCTCAAGCCCCTTCATATTTTTGTAAACTACTCTGCTACTTCGTCCTTGAGTCTTCACAAACACATGTAGCAGTCTCTAGGACTGGTCATAATTAAGTAGTCTTTAGAGAAAGTACAAAGCAAAAATTCAATATTTACATTTACTAAAACTGATAAACTTCTTTTCAGCTTAGAGTCCTCTTCACGCTAAGTACTGAAGAAACATGGAGAAATCCTGCCTACCGCACCATGGAGCTTACTGCTTATTTATGACCCCAACCAGGCAGGCAATCACAACATATAGCCACTCCTCCAGCTAACATCTGTACATCTCAAAACAGAAACTGGAAAACCAACGGTGCTGGTCATGTATATGACAAAAACTTAAGTTTGTTTTATTGCATTGATCTTAAATAGATAAGCATACGATTCCAAATCATTTATAGACACTGCTTTCAACCTCAAGCTTATCAGTTACGAAAGAAGAAGGTTCATCAAGCAGAGCTAAGAGCATAGCACACTGCAAAACATATCCGATGTCTTATTCACCTTACAATCCATCAAGGGTGAGAGGGCAACCTCACTGAGATGAGGAGGTCCCCAGGTCCCCCTCAGAACCTCTGCCTACCAAGCTGAGTCTCCTGCAATAGGATGTCTCGCTTAATGTGTAGATATTTATACTATGGATGACTAATCTGAATTAGTCACCCAGACTCCCTTTGCAGTAGGAGAAAAAAATGAGCACTTCTACAGCAAAACCGAGCTCTGTTTTAGACTTCTGCATCAGAAGAAAATAAGCATCTGTTTCTCTCAATTAACTAAAAAAGAATCCTAAACGGTTACCTCAGAAGTAGGCATTTACATCATAGATGAGTGAACTTCGGTGAGAGGTCTCCAGCCCCTTGAGAGTGAAGGCAGGGTCTGAAACACAATGTTAGGGCAGTGGGTTAAAAAAAAAAAAAAAAGGCTTAGAAAGTCGTGGAAGAAAATAAAAAAGATAAAAGAAAATTTAGGATATACCATGGGCAACGTAATGTTTAAAAGTAATATAGTAAAGGACTGGGAGAGTGCAAAAGTAGTAATAAATGAGCACTAAGAAAATCTTCCATATTTAAAAAAAAAAAAAAAAAAGAATGACATGCAGTAGAGCTAAGTTGAAATCCATCATTTAGTATTTTTTTATTAGTATTTTCTAATTTGTTAAATAGAGTGCTGATTAAGCATCTGTTGACCATTAGTCAGGTACTCTGGCTCAGGAGCTGAGGTCCTGGGACTCTGAGGATGACCCAGATCTTGTATTCACTCGGCTTAGTTCAATTTAATCTAACCCAGAGTAATGGCTTTTGTTAACACTGCTGCAGCCCCACTATTCCCAACCCCTTCGTATTTCAACCGTCCAGCAAACATTGCAGCAGCAGTGCTCGTCTGTTCCTACCAGGCCTGCTAAATAAAATAGACCAGCAGAAAACGAGCAGGGGAAGGTGGGGTTAGTGTTCTGACAGAGCAGCTCCCGCTCGTATGGGACCAGCACTAAGGCAGAGGGACAAACCAGGAACAGGCACAGCAAACTTCAAGCAGTTAAACTGAACCACACCCAGTTTACATCCAGACAGCGAGAGAGACCTGCTGCTCTCACCCTGCCTCCTGGGTCACAGGTTCCTGCACCCTCCCTGGTGTCAGCGCTGTTTGTGCAGCTCCCCATGGAGCTGGCGGGGCGAGCTGATCCAGCTGAGAAAGACCCCCCCCACTCCCGCAGGGTTAGCGGGGGGCCCGCTCGGCCCCCCAAGCCGCATCGACGGTAACGCCAGCGCAGGGGCTCGGGCCCAGCGGGGTCACTGGCAGTGGAACTGCACCCACAGTCCTCTGGTTCAGGGAGGCAGGACACAGTTTTCAACCTGTTAGCTTATAGTCTCAATTATCCTTCTAAAAAAAAAAAAAACAACATCTTAACAGAAAAGAATTAAATGGCATACCAGCACACCTTCTGAAGGAAGAAAATAAAAAGTAAACAGCTAAAGAAACACCACCTTTCTCTTCCTACCCCGCTGCACATGAAAGCAAGAAGCTGAAACAACCCGTAGGTTTTGCAAGACTGTGAGGAATGAAAAGAAGAAATTGCTACGCCGAAGAGAATCTAAGTCTCTTATCACAAAATGTCAAGGCATAACCCATCGTGCATTTTCTCAGCTAACATAATTAAGTCTACCATAGAAAAATCAAAGACAAAACTGAAACTGAAACATCTTGTGTTCTATTTCCTTCTTCCTTCCTGTAGGTTGCAGCAAGAAAGACCATCTCCACTACTGCAGTCTTTGCATTTCTTTCTTTCTCCCAGTAAGGAGTGCCAGTCTCTGCTTTGCTGCTATTGCTCCTAATTCTGCCAAACAAAATCAAAGTGACTTAATAGTTATCAGTGTCACTGCAGGCCACAATGCTCTGAATAGGAACAAACTGCAGAACTGAAAAAATAATTTTAAAAAAAAAAAAAAAAAAAAAAAAAAACAACTAGCATAGACATAGTGGAAAGAAGAGCAAAGACATTCGCCAACTGAGCACAAACCTTGAATTCAAGTCATCAATATGTTTGGGCAGTTTTCTTTGCAAACCATGTAGACTGCCTAGCATGCCACCTACCAAACAAAAGCTAGTGAAAGTTTCTTATTTTGCCTAGGTAAGGAAATAGTTCCTAGCTCTGCCTGTTTGGATCAAATAACTTCTTGAACTTTGCCATTTAACCATAATGTTCTCATGCCTTCCGGTTTCCCTTCTGTGCAGATAAGATTGCGTCCTTCAGCACACGACACTGACACAGGGGTAAGAAGTTGGGTATTTGCAATGCAGTGACATCCCCAGGCACCGCTTCGGGGCCAGGCTGCTCCCGTCCCCAGCACCACGCAGGCCGAAGGCACGGCCACGGCCCGGGATTGCTGACAATTCCTGCACAGAATGAGAAAACAGGTAGACACGAAGAAAAACTGGGAGGGGAGATTCATAGCAGTCACAGCTCAACAGCTGCAGAGCTTCCATGCTCAGGCTAATGATTTTAACTTCCTCCTTTTGACGTTACATTCTCCTAAACCAGCTCACCCTAATTTTGCTGACAACCCCCTTTCCAAAGCTCGGTGCCACAGAGCGTTTAGTGTGAAGCGACCCCTGCCAAAGATGACAATTTTAGTTAGGCTTCAGGCATTGCTATGTAGCCATTTGTTATTGTAACTACTTGCACTGTCTCAGCTTTATCTAGGACTAAATGGCATTAATAAGCAAAAAGAGAGAACGTCACTGTTAATTCAGCCAGTGATGTCAGATTTCCCATTTGCAGACCTGATCTGAGCACCATGTATGTGATGTGTGTGGCATTCAAATTCCACAAAAATCCAAGCTTTTTTTAGTCTGAGATTTTTAACCTTGGCTATGAAAGCTTCGTTTCCTCAGATAACTTGTATTTATTTGCCCAACTCTACCCCCATACCAGAGTTAACATGCAGGTAAAAATAGCTAAGGTGTGTAATAATAATGTCAATATTGATTATTGCACTGCTGACTGTTTTAGCAGATCAAAACAAGGAGCAGAGAAGTCCCTCACAGGGGGAGGGGAGGATGGTGGGAGGCATAAAGACAGGGAGAGGGAAAGAGAAAAGCGCAATTAAAGAAACAAGCGCCCTAGAAACATAGCAGCGGACAGAAAAGACAACACACTTTTGCTTCTAATAATATTGAATCAAAGAAGACACTTAAGTTCCTTTGTTGCTACTATTGGTCACACAGAGGCCACATTCTTTCCCTGATCCTTATATAAACCCACTGACATCTGTAGATTTTCTGTGAAAGGAGGTAACAAACAGTCAAACCGATTCCCCAGCCCATAAAACATAATTAAGAACAGAAGTGTGTTACCCTATAAATAGGGCTAAGAGTAAAAGACTGCTGCTCTCAACCGTGGCTCCATATTTGACTGCTCAGATGGAGAGCTGACATCATTCATTAATACAGTCTATTAACCCTCCTCTCCTCAATTAGTTTTTCAGTAATTTCACATCTAGCAAAACAACGAGACCTCCCATAAATATTCCTCCCTATAAAGTTCTCAAAACTGTCAACCCCTCAGCTCCTGCTTTGCTCTCAACTCACTGACCTCATCCGTCTCTCCTGTGTCATTCACACCCGAGTTTCCCAGTTATTCTTGTCATTCTACTATTGTTTCAGAAACATTTACTATAACAAGTTACGCTTCTATTTCTCGGCATTCCAGTTCGCCCATTTTTATGGCTGAGCTTATTACACTGTTCTAGCTATTGCCCTTCGGGCACTAACACTTCAGACTCCAAGCCACTGTGTTAAGAAAACATTCTACTTTATTATGTATGTGAAGTCATTTTCCCTAACATATAATCTACAGCTTTTACACTTACACTTCTACAGACCTTATTATCAGAAACAGAGAGGCAGAAAGCTCACCCTGTTCTTCCCCACCTCCCCCCCCCCCGAGGTCTCCTCAATCACAACACCCTTTGCTGAAACTCTTCTGTATCACTGATGCCCTACTGCGTCCGAGGGAGGAAAACAGCATTGGTTTCCCTTTGACACCTTAGCTGATAGTTAGTAAAACTCAGAAGAGGGCAGGGATGAAGTGTTCCTTCCACAGAGCATGGAAAAACACGATCAGCTATGCCTGGGATATCTCCCCACCACAGAGGAGGGGAAGCATAACTAAACGATTCCTCCTTCTAGCTCAGGATCGCACTATCTGGGGACAGCGAGAATTTAATTCACTCCAGCTGACTCCCAGTCCAACCAGCAAACTGTGAGTCAGGGCTGGGGGGGAGCCCCACTCAGAACCACTGCCGGCCCCCTCTGCAGAAGCGGGGCTGCAGGGCTTTAGCCTTCCCCCACACGGAAGCTCTGTATAACAGGCTGTGCTGCTCGTGACAGCAGCCTGGAGTTTTCTAAAAATAATTTAAAAGCCCACAGACTGAGGATGCTTGCTTACCAGGAAAAAAAAGCCCAAAACATAAGCTCTTACAGACAGTTTTCTCTTTGTTATTCGTTTTTGACAGTCTCCGATTTCTGAACTATGAACTTTGAAATTCAACCTGTCCCTCCTACGACACAGCCACAGCTTCATCAAATACCATGCTCAAAAGGAGGATGCTTCAGCACTCCCTGCCATCCCCCGAACAAATGCTCGACATCAATCCTGCTCTCGCAGTCTGAGGTTCACAAGAACCTCCCAAAACCTCAACGCCGTTTTCTGCACCACCTGTCTGATACCATTCTGCTACAGGGCGAGCTCTTCCCAGAAAGCTGCTGCAGCGCCACACATTTTCCATGATTTCTACACAGGACATTGTCCTAGGTCCCTGGATTTGCAGCATAATACAAAGAAAGTACAAAAGTCACCAGAAATGTCTGCATATCAAATACACAAAAAACAAAGCAAGCCTTCAACTTCAAGCCATCTTGCTCTTATCCAATCCCCAGTCATCTTCTCCTGAGCAAGTATTTACTGGTATCACTCAAACCAGTACAGATCATTATGTGTCCCTATTGCACATTCCAAAATTTAACTTTGCTTACCATGATATCACCATTGGTTGCTATGGAAATTGCTATACTACCATCCACCAGATTTTTTTACCACTCAAGTATTTTGGCACTGTTTGCTCTTAAGTGTCAGAGTAAGAAGAGAAATCATAAATGTTTATTCTCTCCTCTTTAAAATGGTGCTTTATAACAAAAATCTGCTGGAAAGTGATTACATGCATGGCTTCAAACATGTAGCTCCGGATAAGACTGGAATCACAACTTTCTCCTTTGGTCTTTGAGAGAGAAAATAAAGTACATTATGAAAACAAGCTTCAGTTTTTAAAATACTAATTTTTAAGTGGGAGATCAAGATATGAAAAACACCTCAGGGCCCTCCAAGTTCTCTCAGTTTCTCTTTTTCACTTCCTAGTTTGGGTTTTTTTTTTGGTTTGTTGTTTTTTTTTTTTTTGGTTTTTTTTTTTTCAACTAGTGCAAAACAAGGCCTTCAAATTAGGAAGGGAGCTGTTGTCAGACTCGTCAAGAAGTCATCTTTCTGTAAGATTACATGCTGTAGTGATTCCATTAGCGGCTGCAACTCCTACCCCAGTTTCCGTACGTTAATAACGCCAGCAGAGTGACATTTATTTTCACACACCGCACCCGCAGAGCCGGCAGGGTCCCTCGCCCAGGTCCCTGGCCCGGCACAGCCGCAGCCGGCGGGTCCCCGGGAGGGTGACCCCCACCTCTGACCTTGCCAACACCCCCTCTCCCACGAGCCTCCAAAACCTGGACCCCCGCGCTCCCCCTGCCCAAACCCGCCGAGTCGACCCCTCCAAAAAAAAAAAAAAAAAAAAATATATATATATATATAAAAAAAAAAATCAAACCCAAAACGGAAAATCAAACTCTTGACACGCACAGAAAGTCCGATTTAACCCAGATAACACATGAAACGACACGGTGGGACTGGGGCACGGCCGACAGCAAGGACTCAAAAATGGACCTCTGCGATCAGAGGGGCGGCGCGGCCAGCACCAGCAGGGTTATTAAAAAAAAAACAACAAAACAAAACGAAAAAAACAAGGAAAAACAAACCCCAGGCAACCGGACGCGGCCCTGCGGCGCATCGGGACCGGCGACCAACCGCTCCCGGCGGGTGGGAAGGGGCTGTCGCCGCGGCCGCGGAGGCCGGAGCGGAGGCGGCGGCGGGGGCTGGCGGGGCGGCAGGCCGCGCACCGCGCCCCAGCCCCGGCGCGGGAAGGCGGAAGCAGCCCGGCAGCCCCGGTCCCCGCGGCGGGGGAGGGCGGGCGGGCGGGCGGCGGTGACAGCGCGGCGGGCGGGCCGGGCCGCGGGTCTCACCTGCTGTGTGTGTGTGTGGAGAACCGGGGCGGGGGGGGGGGGGGGTGGTCCGGGCCTGCCCTCCGCCCCGCGGCGAGGCCGCTGACGCGCTGCCTGGCTGCGAGGAGCGGCGGCCCGGCGGGCATGGGCCGCGGCCGAGGCGGGGCGCGGCGGGGGCTGCGCTGACAGCGGGCGGCGAGGCGGGCGAGCTGCGGGCGCTCCGGCGGCCTCCAAAATGGCGGCGGCCCCGCTGCTGCCCAGCGCCGCGCGGGGGGTGGGGGGGGGAAGGTGGGCGGGGCGCGGAGGGGTGGGCGGGGCTAGGGGGGGTGGGTAGGGCCGGGAAGAGGTGGGCGGGGCGGCGGGGCGGGGCCCGGTGGGGCGAGGACCGGGGCTCGGGGCTCGGTGGGGAGGGGACCGGGGATCGGCCCCAGCCTCCGGGCCGGGGGACCGGTGACGCGCCAGCACAGCGCTCTGCGGCAAGGGGACAGGCCCCGGGGCCCGGACACAGACCGGGAGGAGGACACGGCGCCGGGGGGCCAGCGGGAGCCCTGCTGTGGCTACTGCCTCCGAGTAACGGGAGGCAGAAGCGGCGGGAGCGGGGGAAAGCCCCTTGTTCCCCGGTCCACAGCGGCGGGGGCGGCCCGGGGGTCGCTGGGAATGAGGGTCAGGGGGAAGGGGGGAGACAGCGGGGATGGGTGCTGGCGTGGGGCTGGGGGGGGGGATCAACCTCGGGGTGACACGGGCCACGATGTGCAGGGAGGTAGGGGTGCGCGTGGAGAAGGGAGGGAGCGTGCTGGGGGAAAAGGAGGAGAAGAGGGCGAGCGAAACGAGAGAGGAAAACTACTGGGGAGGGGAGATCTCTTAGTCATGCTTGCTTGCCGGGTTAAGTAGATTCTATTGTTGCTTTGCCCAGATTCGTCTTTGTTGGTGAATAAACTGCTTTCCAGGTGCCAGCATCACACAGGAACTGATCCAATTCTTCTCTTCCTTCCAAAGTGAATTCCTGCCATTAAATTTAACACTATGTCTCATCTTGGCTAGTCTTATTTAGGCCTTGACCCTGCAAATGTTAATGCACGTGGTTAAAAATTTAACGTGGACGCATCTGCTTCAGAACCCCCGGACAGATACTGGCCGTGGAAGCACCTGCTGGAACAGCCACGGTGGCAAATGTGCCCAGTGGATGGAAATGATAGCAAGGGAAAATGCGTGGTCTGCCAGCAAGGCATTTTGTGAAAAAAATAAACGTTTTTATGCTGCCCTGTTAAACTATCAGGTTTGAGGGGGTTTGCCACAGAAATACCACCAAAAATTTCACCCATGACTAAATGGGCAAAATTTCTAGTTTATGCCTGTTTGTTCACCATACATAAGAGCTCGAAGGCAAGGGCTCCAAGAGTTTACACGTTACCCAGTATGGTAATTAACACTTTGTTGGCCATTAACAAGGAAAAAAATAGTACAACCTCAGAAGTTTCGTTTCTCAGTTTTGGCTACTGGAGGGTAATGAGGTTGTAAAGCATTTTCTGTGGCTTATTCTGGCTTTTAGGGACACGACGACAGCTATCCAAGCAAATCCCCCGGTCTCCCAGCCATTCCCAGAGGGTATTCATTTCCCTGTGCAGCGCAGGAGGGCCGGGGCCGTAGACCCCGTCTTCTCCAGCTGATTTCTAGACTTGGAAGAGCTTCCTTCTGTCCTCCAGCCCTACAAGACATGCTAAAGTACAGCTGAACTCTCTGGGCTTGGCAGCGAGCACGGGCTCGAGCTGCCAGCTCACCTCACCCCGGCCAGGACGCAGGCAGGTACAAGAACAGGGAGAGCTACTTACGCAGGGAAAATAACCCGCGGGTTTGAGACCCTGGTTGTTTTACAAGGGCAGCTATATTCTACTGCGAACAAGCTGTCGGTCTCTTCTGTGGCTACTCGTGCTGACATGCAGATGCTGAATACAGGTATGACCTCTTTCCTGTTCAAACAGATACAAAAATCAGCGTTTGCTTACTTGCGCACATATGAAAATGCAGTAATTTTAGGTTTCACATCCTTTGCTGTTGTTCAAATCCACCCCGGGATGTAAGTAATGAAAAACATTATCATGTTATTGTCCTCTCACCAGTCTTTCAGCTTTCCTAAATAGGAAGAAGCTGATCATTTAGTGTCCTTCCTCTAACTGTTTTAACATTTCCAGGGCAATTGTTTATTGAAATTCATGCTGTCCATATTCAGTGTACTTAAAAACACGCATCTTGGATGATCTTATGGTTTCTAATACAGTAAAATTATATTCAGAAAAGGACTGCCTCTCTCACAGTTTTATAGTAAAATTCCTGGGTATTTTTCCCATTTTGTACTAAACTAGTACGGTGATCTCACCAGGTGAGATTAATTTACTTTTAAATCCTAACACCTGTAAATAAGTAACACCTTTGCTGTTTACATGGAGTTTTCTATCAGCCTGGTTTCCACACTGATCGTTTCAAAAGTCACGCAGAATGAACAGAAAGAAGGAGCAAGGTACAACACTGCCAGCTCTGCTGAAATTATCAGTAACTCAAGTGCTGGGACGGAGCCGCTATTCGGGCCAGTGACCTCCGTCCTCCCTGTCTTGGAGAGAGATGAAGCAGCTGAGCCTGCCTGCCATTGTGCTGTGTCAAAAAGTCCTGTGGAATGGCAGCGCAGCCGCAAGCTCCCTGAGATAGCAAAGTTGTCATCGTGCCAATGGGTACGTCATTTAGCATGTTGCCGACGCTAACAATAATGGATACGGACACTTTAGCAACAATCCGAATTGCGTAAGCGTGCAACGTATAAAACTCATTCTCGCAGGTGGCCAAACAGGCACTCGAAGGGCACGGTAAGAATTCACCCCGCTGCTCCTGGCGAGGACAGCCTGTCGCTGTGATTTCATTACCTGGGCTGCTGCAGAACTGCACCTACAGCCACGGCTTCAGACCAACACCGCGGCCAGCCCCGGGGCGGTTAGCCCTGCTTCGTCAGGCTGGCACCCCAGGTATTAGCATGAGTAATTGCAACTTCGTCCTGTATGCAAAATTCCAGTCTTTGGACTACCAGGCTGGGGAACTGTCTCACTTTTTTCCTACACACGGAGCATGTATTTCACAACCAAAACTATGTCGTTACCATACACCTCTGAGCTTGAAAAGCTGCCACCCTCTAACTCAAATAACTGCGTTACACATCAAGCAGTCAGGACATATTAAATCGTGTTTTGTTGTGTGACTTGCTGGACTACTAGCTAGCAAGGGTTGGTTTGTCTCTTTGAAGGGTTCAACCCTGTTGTAAGGAAGTTCTGATTCTGAAGTTCAGTGAAAAAGCATAAAACCTAGAGTTTTTGTCAGAAATGCAAAGATAACTGCCGCAAAGATTTGGGGCAGAGTATGGATACTTGCGTCCGGACCTCCAGTGCAACGAGCATTTTGGGCTTCAGAGCCTGAGCGCAGCTCTCCAGTTCTGGAGCCGGAGGAATGAGCCTGAGCCTAAGATTCACATCTAGAGCAGGATTAGGCACACATTTCGCTAGGAGGCTGCACAACCAGAAATAGGATGTCGATGATCGAGAATGCTGGCCTCTATTCCTGGCTTAGAAATGAAGTGTGACCCAGCACCTAGAACAGACATTATATCAGGATCGCCAAGCTGCAGTTTTAATTCTGAGAAACTGAAGGGAGGAGGGGAAGAGTCTTAGTTCACTCTACTGGAGTCACAGACTCTTTTCCTAAATACAATTTGTGTGTCAGGTTGTTCAAACACCACGAATTATATTTGGCTGCCTTTTGGGGCAAGTTATAAGGCCTTGTTCAAATAACAAAGCTCTGAAGTACGCAGAACATAAACAGCAATCAGAAGTGAGGCTGGCGAGCTAACATTTCTTGCCTTACAGCATATTGCACGTTCCTCTAGTCTGCAGGGTATTTATGTTTCTCTTCTTGTCTGGGGAATATTATCCTGACTGGCAGTGCAAGAGAAAAGGCAGACAAAGTGAAGCTGAATGCAAAATATCCTGCAAAATCTGGTAGGCCAGTTGCTCTTGAGAGCTCTGATGCAAAAGATAATTATAGATGAAAGTGTAGCAACCACTGTGGTTAAGGTTGCGAAATGTTCTATTTACTCAGGTTGCTTAGGAGCCGTGCACAAACCACCCGCTGGCCCTGTGCAGTGCAGTATCTCCAGTGAGGCCGGCGCTTTGGAGAGGATCAGATCTGTGGCCTTCTCCAGTTCTGCAGAACCTTTATTGCCCAAATATGGCCCAGGAGCACATTGGCACTTAAAAGGCTAGAAATTGTGCGCCTATGATTAGCTGTTTCGTAAAGACCGAAAGCTCAGAAGGCCCAGCCCTCCACGTGGAGCAGATTACATTCTCCTCTCGGAGAAAATACAACTTTGCAGCTTTGTCTGCGGAAGCCGGGAGAAGCACAGGACCAGCACCCTCCCCACCCCTCGCGAAAGGGCTGCAGAGCCAGAGGCCCATCACAGCTTAAAGTCTTCCCTGGTTTTGTTTCAAGACAATCTGAGGAAATTAATTATAAAAGCTCTTGTGTTTAGACAACATTAAACCAAAAATACTCTGGGGCATGACCTCAGCTTGTGTCAATCGTCAGGAGATATCAAAGCAAAGATCAAATGCGAGGCCTTCCCTCAGATATCCTCTGCGCACTACCGACGCAGCAGCTACGCGCGGTCAGAAATTGTTTTTCAAACAGTAGCACCATGCAGTGCAGGAACACCATGGTTAGGCTAACGATGAGGTAGGACCATCACGTGCTGTGCTAACCAGCATCAGCCCCTTGTCTTTTTTTTTTTTTTTTTTTGGCACTTATTTGATTACCTTGATGTGCTGTTTCTTCATGCGTAAGGTGTATAATCTTCTCATCTGGATTGTACTGCACCTTGCTAAATGTAGCAGTGGCCCTTCATTAGGGTGCAGAAGTGCTACAGTAGTAACACAAACAATGAATTGTAATGTTAACTGTTAAGTAATATTATTATTTATTATAAACTCTTGGCATACCGTATCGAAAGAATTTGTGTTTTGATATGCTACATTACTTGATATTCATGCTATGTCCAGCCATACAGCTGTCACAATACAGGCACATAAGGAGAACAAGCCCTTCCTATTGTTGAGGACTTTCTTCATCAGCCAATTTCGCCACCAGAATCACATGAAATGTTGGCGAGGGCTCTACAGAAATCCAGCATAACAGACACATCTACTTTGGTCCTACTTACAATCTCAGAAAATCCTAATACATTTTTCTTCCTTGCTAAACGTGTAGGACAAGTTACCAAAGAAAGCGAGTGAAAAAACCTGCCAGGATTATAGCTGATTCTTGCCAAAAAAGCAGCATAATGAAAATATAGGAAAAATAACCTGAATAAAAAACACTGGACATTTTTTGCCCCATAATTCTTTGTCCCATAATAAAAATCACGTTTAATCTTATTCCAAGGGGTCTCATGCAGCTGATTTCACTGCAGCCACACACACATTACTGGCTTGCCAAGCAGAACATTTACTGTGAATAAAACAGATAACGGAAGTACTTACATCTCAGAAGTATAAACATGATAGCTGAAAGACTTAAATTGAAACATACATCTTTACTCTGGCCAGGAAACTATCATAGGCACGAAGTCAGCACAGATCTAAGACCTCTAGCTCTCTCTTCACAGAGGCAATTTCCAGGAGTCATATTGTAGAATAGGCAAGTATTGGAATCCTGAAAGGAGCTTGAAGTCTATCAGTATGTTGGACATATAGCCAAAGGAAAGGACACAAATTCACTTGTAGCAGTGAAAGGATCTCTCTCTGTGTATCTAACAGTTAGTAAGGCAGATTATCCTCTAAAATCATTTAAATCTGAAACAGTTCTACTGGTTTTGTGAGAGTTATCCCCAGTTTGTACCTTTGGATCACGATGCAGTTTATCGGGGAAGCACACAGAAACGTGTACATCTTTTCCCATCAGACAAAACTTTGTTTTAGCCCAGTAACGAGGCTTTACAGCCCAGCTCACACAGCTAATGTCAGGACTCCAGTTACTGCCCAGGGGAGCGAACACCACTTTCTCCAGCACGTAACTGGGCAGGCAAACTCCTCCAGAAGGCATGGGGCACAGGTAGGATGCTGAGACCAAGTCAGTATAAGCCCATCAAAGTGCTGCTGCACTTGGAGACACTTACACTTTCTCTTTACAGTGGCCCTAGTACTTATCTGTGCCGAATCTGGCTGAAGAGTAGCCTAGCAATAAATAAGCAAAAAAAGTGAATGGGTTTTAGCCAGCCCCTCAGGAAATCTGCCATGAAACTGTTATCACTGATATCTTCGCATTTCCTAGATGTCACCGTCCTCCTACCGAGTAACCACGAGAAGGCAGCAGCTCACGTCCCGGAACCCACACGCCCCAAACCCAACAGGAAGAGGCACACGCCGAGGCCCCACCGACCCCTGTAACATCCAGCCCGAGCCAAGGACGGCTCCGCTGGCCACCCCCGGGCCCCCTCGGCGGTGTCCGGGCGTGCTACCCTCCCTGTCCCTGCCCCTGCCCCCGCACCTGCCCCCGCCCGCCCGAGCCCACGGGCCGGGCCCAGCCGTGGGCACGGAGCCTGGGCAGGCGCTGCAGGCCAGGGAGGCCCGGGCCGCGGGGCGAGCAGGGCGCTGAGGACGGAGGAGTGGAGCCGTGTGGGGAAGCGGCAGCTCGCGGCGGGGCCGGGTTTGGCGGCGGGGCCGGGTTTAGCGGCGGCCCCCGCGGTTCGCCCGCCGCCGGGCCCTATACGGGGAGCGGGCCGCCCGTCCCCTGCCACGGCGCCCGCCATGACACCCGCCGCCGGGCCGCTCTGCGCGGCGGGAGCCGACTCGATGGTGGGGGACGTCGGGGGGGAGGCGGGCCTGGGACCTCCGGGCCGCCGGGGGGCGCGGCGCGGCGGGGCGGGGCCGGGGGGCGGCGGGGCCGGGCCGGGCCGGGCCGGGCCGGGCGGAGCGGGCGCTGCCATGGACGCTCTGTGCCGGGCCGAGCCCCGGCCCCGCCGGTCCGCCGCCGCCTCCCCGCTGCCCTGGGCCCGCTTCTCCGCCTGGCTCGACTGTGTCTGCGTGGTCACTTTCGACCTGGAGCTGGGTCAGGCCATGGAGGTGCGGGCAAGGGCCGGGGAGCGGGTCTGGGGCCCGAGCAGGGTCGGGGGCTGTGGGGGAGCGGGGACAGGCAGGGTGTGGGGCAGCGAGCAGGCGGGGGAGGGTGGAGGCAGAGCGAAAATGAGGGGGACGGGGCTGAGCTGGGGTGCAGGGAGACGGGGAGCAGGGGGGGGGGGGGGGGGCGAGAGAGCGGGCAGAGGGGGCTGGGGGGAGCGGGCAGGGGTGGAGGAGGGCCCGGTGCGGGGGGAGCAGGGGCAGAATTAGGGCTGGGGTGAGGCTGTGGGCAGGGTGGAGGGAGCTGGTGGGTGTGCCAGGAGGGGGTGGGCAGAGGAGCAGCCCTGGGCGTGCAGGGCCGAGAGGAGCCGGGGCAGCCCCCGGGGGCAGGGAGGGGGTGACTGGGGTGGACGCAGGGCTGCTGAGGAGGAGGAGGAGGAGGAAGGGTTGTGGAAAACAGCCCGTGGGTTTAGGGAGCGGGGGGGTAGGGGTGGATCTCCCCCAGAAACGCAGATCTGATGTGTGGGGTCGGTAAGGAGGGGCTGAGGTGGGTGTCGTGGGACGGTGATGGGGAGGGAGTGGGGGAGCAGTGGGGAGGGACCGGGGTGCTGAGGCAGCTCTGCCAGCCTGAGTTGTCGGAGGCTTCCCGGGAGGTCTGATAGGTCTGTGGGAGTCATTGGGGGGCCACAGGGGATTAACTGGGAGTGAAAGGGCTGGAGCAGTTTTTCCCTATTCCCTGGAAGATTGGACTGTTTGCCTCTGAAAGAAGATTTGAAGGGAGTTAGACACCTAAGGCTTGTAACGGGACCGAAGGCAAGAGCTGGTTGGTCTTCTAAGAAAATGCTACATGGGGGGACCAGATGTGTCTGGATTATTCTGAACCTAAGGCATTATATCAAATCCCTTGATATTTGTTGTGTAATTGTGGGAAGTACTCCTCACTTTGCCTTTCTGTAAGGAGGTTAACGCTGTTTTTCAGAGGATTGAGACTCAATTTTTAAAGTCATGCTGAAGCTTCTGAAGGGAATAGAAAGCAGTAGAGATTGAGCTAGCCTATTGCTGCTCTGTTTTCTTAAATACTTGACTATGTTTCTTTCCACGAGGCCTGAAAATAAATTTTAAAATCTGCTGTAGACCTAAGTTTCACATGCTCTATGTTCTTTCCTGCAAAACCAGACCTGATATACCCTGGAAATGATGCTGGGATAATAATTAGCATTTACAATTTAATGCTTCATAGATCTGTTTTAATACGTAGCTACAAAGGTACTTTCTTACTATTTTTTTTACCTGTGTAGCATTATAAGGAAGGGACTTTGTCATCAAGGTGTGCAGTAATTTGTTAATCCCCAGATATTTTTCTTCATTTGCTTCCTTTCCTCCTATTTCCTGTTTTGCCTATATAACTATTGATGGGAAAATGTTTCTGATGAGGCATAAATGACCAAGAAGACTGGGAACATCTCAGCATCTGGCCTGGGTGATGACACAACCTCGCCATCGCTTTTCCTTTGGTTGTGGATTTCTGCCTCTGAGCAAAGGCTTTGGGCAAGCAACAGGGGTCTGCGCAGAAAGGAAGCCAGGCAGAGAACAATCTCTGTGATAAAGGTCCCAGGTTCCATTCTTGATGGAGTTGGAAGAATAAAAAGGCTTAAGCTGTTACTGTCTTACAGGGGAATTCCAAGTAAAAGTATTTAAAAATTTGAAAAAAGTGTAAATGTCACTATTGCCAGCAAGCAAATGGTGTCATTATCTTCCTGCCTATTCCCTATTTCCATCTGTTGCCTTGGTTGTTTTAGATTGGGTCCACATCCTGCAGCTTGTCTCCAAGCAGGCTGATTTCTGCTGCCGAGAAGAGGGAGTTTCATGATTTGGGCTCCCAACTGCAAGTTTCTGGGTTGAAAAAAATGCATCCGTGGCACCCAGCCCTGTGGGACTTCAGTCCTGGCTCAGTTTGCACGGGAAGCTTGCCATAGACATTACCAGATCAGTGTAGCTGACAGATTAGATCTTGACAGAGCTCTCTGTGGTTTTGTGGATGTTCATCTATCCCTCTAAAGAGTGATTTATGCACAGAAGCTGTTCACGCACCCAAGGATTACACAGTGTGACAGGCTACAAATACTTGGAGTAACTTGCTCTACCTCATGTGCCCACAGCAAAGTGAGTCAGAAAGAAAGGAAACCTCCTGTTTGGGAGGTTGCACCATACTTGCATCGTCTCTGTAAATCAGTGTGTGAAGATGCAGACATCCTGAGTGTAGACCAACTTTAGGAAGTCCCCTGCAGTTCTGCTTTAGGAGCAAGCCTGTCCCAGTCAGGATTTCTGTGCTGAGACATTGACGTCCTTCCCTGAAGATTACTTTTTCCTGAGTATAGGATTCTTTTCAGATAAAACATCTCTTTTTTTCCCTTGCTGCCCAAATCTACGCAGAAGCCACGTCGTTGAAACCTGATTAGTGTGTGTCCTTCAACGACACTGAGTAGAAAGGCAAAATTACCCCAGAATGGGGTAGGATCTGTGGGTACGACTTCACAGCCAAGAGCTTGTTTAGGGTCTGCTCAGATTTCTGAATATTGCATGACTTGTGTTCTGTGCAGTTGTCTCACGGTGCAGATACACCATTGGCCTGAAATTAGGTGAGTCCCACTCTTGTTTTTAAATATCCAGGTGAAAAGGCGTTACAAAGGAAAACGTAGGTTAATGCAGAAATTAGGTTTCATTCTGACTCATCCACCAATTCACATTTCTTCAAAAAGTCAACTACAGTTGGCAAAAATACCAGGGAGAGGGAAGAAGCATTTCTGAGAGGATCGTCTCCGGCTGGCAGTCGGTGTCCTGCAGGAGCAGCCCTCCCCGCCAGCCCCTGGCCTCCGACTCCGAGGGCGAGGGCTCCGACTTCTCTGGTGCCGCTGTCATAGAAACGCTGAAAATTCCTCCCTGCGGCTCTGAAATATCCCTTTTCACAACGGCACTGGCTTCTCCCTCCCTGAGCTTTTCCAAACACAGGCACTTTGTGGAGCTGGCTTACTTCAGAGTCACCAGAAGTCATTTTCTGGGATGTTCTCTGTGTTGCTATGACAGCAGCAGAGCACTTGGCATCCTTGCTGATATCAACAGCAAAGCCTTAGTGCAAGGATCTGTTTTCAACAACATGTGTCACCTCCACGCTTGTTAATTCAGCATTGATGGGAGAGAGCACTACGTCACAAGTTATGACATAATTTAAGCCCTTTTGGGCTACTTCTGAGATATCCAGGGACTTTTACAAGGAAAACGTTCCTTTTTTTTGTTGTTGTTGTTGTCTTTTTGCTTTTGAGGATTTATAGGATTCTTACTAGTTTAGATTGGGGTTTTAATCTTCTAAATATTTAGTGATTTCCTGCCCCCCCCCCCGACATATATGTCAGACTGTTAAACTGAAGGGGAAGCAAAGATGCAGAAGATAACGCTTATTTTTTAGAAACATGATATCTGAGGTTTTGGATCTATTAGTGCTTCTGTGCTCAGTCAGAAGCATTTGGGCCTGATTTTTTTATTTTTTTTTTTTTTCCCCCAAATGCTGAGCACACATCTCCAAGTGAAACATATACTTAGCGTATCTTAAACTTGGACCCACAAAGCAGCTAGGAGCCATCAATACCCACTTCTGGTCTGATTTACTTGCAGAAAGACCCCCAGAAAATGCAGCAGGACAGCTAGAAGTCTGTCTTGACTCTTGAACTTAAGTTTAGATCATCAGCAAGCATTGCAGAAAGCACGATGCTGTGAGATTCCTGAGCTGCTTCATAAACCAGCATCGGGTGTCCAGGTCTCCGTTCCTGGTCTATCCATTATTAACAAAATAAATGTTTGTATGATCACTAAATTAGTCATAACCACAAGAATTTATTCAATTGCCTAATGCAGGAATACAGCAAGCAGAGAAGTGCATCTTCTCCTGTGGCGTAGTTGTAATGCATCCCTTTGTGCTTCAGTGTCTAAAAAGCTTTCATTCTCTAGTCGTGCCTTCATGTGCTGCCTCATCGCTGTAGTCTGGATGTGATAATTTTGCTCCTGTATTTTTGTAGCTTTCGTCTTTCAGAGAAGCTTTAACTGAAGGCTAATCAGCGTAATTTTTAATTGTTAATTTGACTCACTCTCTGAAGCTGATTAGATGACCTTGCCAAGGAATCAGTGGGGAATTGTTAGAGCGAAGCCAGCGCGCTCGGTGAACTTCCAGCACTCTGGCGTGCTGCCACCCTTGCTATTTATAGACTTGTAAGAAGAGTCAAGCGCTGAAGAGAGCTCCTGATTTGAGTACCAGATGACTCGCACACTGACCTGAAGCAGAGTTACTGCCCGGGAGCTGCAGAAGTCTGATGAGCAGATCTCCATTTTTCAAGTCATTCAGTGCTAGTTTCTTTCTCATCTGGTTATTTAAAGCCACCTGCAATTTCTGTGTTCCCCGCTCAGGAAGGGCTATAAAGGCTGTGCAGTTTGTAAGGACTTCGGTTTCTATCCTCTGCCCAGTGACATGTGAAACTCATTATTGCTGTAGCTGTGTCATTTCTCACTTCTGGCTGTGATTGTTTCTGTAGTGGATCTTGCTCGTGGATCTTGCTTGCAGTTTTGCCCTCAGCCCTGACCTGAGAAGTCTTGCATCGAGTTCTCTTTTATTGGGTTACAGCAAATGCAGAAACAGTGTTATCAGCATTTATAGAGTTCAGCTGCAAAGCTAGAGTCTTTAACTAGATGCTTTAAAATTCTTGACAATCTTTCTTATCTGAAATGCTGGGTGATAAATTGGGTGTAACACAATTCAGCTGTCACTGGTATGCTGACAAAGCATGAGTCTTCAAGCCTGTGCCAGACCCACCTCTTTCTGTACAAAATAAATCTTGGCTTGTCTTTGTAACAACAGATCAAATCAGGGAGGCTAAACCAGAGCTCCAAATCCTCTCAGACTTCTCCCGCTGCCTGTTTTCTGCTTTTTGGTTACTGTGCACAGCATCTCTAGCTCACCAGTCACTCAGGACCATTAAATAAGCGTTTTCACCCCAGAGGCTAGGATAGATACCCAAGTCGGTGTCTACCACCAGGCTTTGTATTGTTTAATGTACATAAGGTATGTTGTTTTCTAATCTCTTCATACAGCTAGAACCTTTGTCCAGGCTATCGCTGTCTCTTCTTGATCATTGCTACATCTGTTCCTCTGCCCTTGAGGACAGCAATCTTGCCCTGCCCCAACCTTTGCACAATGCTGCTTCAAAGGTTGTTCTCCCAGTCACAGCTGTTAACGCTCTCTGTGACATCCTCCAGTGGCTCTTCTTTCCATACCTCATCACATCTATGCATAACTTCATTTTCAAAGCCATTCTTAGTCTGTCCCTGCTGTCTGTCTTCTCATTTCATTGCTGTGAAATCTGGTTTTACCTGTCAGCAGCCCATGATGCCAGTCTTCCTCCCTCCTTCAGAATATCTGGTGGGTTTAGTGAATTGTAAGTGATTTCTTAGCAGGATTTAAGAAGAATCAAAATAACAAGTGACCCTCCTCCAAACAACAATTAGAAATACGTAAAGTCAAAAAAATTCTATATAGGACATTATTTGGGGCAATTTCTAAACTTGTATTTAAGTGCAAAATTAAATACTAATGCTTTCTCGGCTTGGAGAGTAAGTATACACTAACATAATTTCAAGCAGCATTGGAATAGTCCTCTCCTGCCTGCTTTAGAGAAGACAGATGTTTGCACGTCAGGGATCGGTACGGAGAAGTTAGCAACAGGGTGGTGGGGCTGTTTGTTCACTGAGCTATCGACTCTCAAGTTAAAGTCTAAGTAAAATATAAGCCATTCGGTCTGTCTCCAAATCTGCCTGAATAAATACAGATTCTGTGACAGGCTCGGTGCGGTGGGTTATTGACTGGCAGGTTTTAAAGGGGTGGATGTACCTTCTTGTAGGATACGGTACTCTGGGAAAAATAAGGCACTTACTGCATGGAAGCAATGTTTATTGATCTGTGTAGAAGTCAGGGGGGAACAGCGTGATTGACTTATTGGCTCTTGTTTCTTTTGCAGTTGGTGTATCCTTATGACTTTAGACTAACAGAGAAGGAGGTAATAACTTTTTTTTTTCTTTTTCTTTTTTTTTCTCCCCTGGTTTTAAAGATACTGAGCAGCAGTGAGGGAGGTTTTCCTCACTGTGTGTTTTTGTTTGTTACAGAAAACTAGTATCTGCTACTTGTCCTTCCCAGACTCCTACTCAGGTGAGTAGCATCTGTGGGCCTTGCCTGCAGCCTGCAGGATGGTTTGTGGCCATCAGGAAAGAAATGGGTTCATGATGGAAAGAGTGAGTCATCACCTCTGATGCAGCAGAGACTGATGGGCTGTATCTTCTAGAACCGTGACATCAAGGAGCACCCAGCCCTTAGGTCTGAACAAAGAGGCTCCTTGTCATTTTGATTGCTCTCTGGCTATAGAATCTGTGATCCAGTGGGTGACAGGACAATTTCTGGATAACCTTGCACACTCATGCTTCACCCGTGCCAATAAAATATAAAAAATAGTCACGAAGGGTAGGTTCCCTGAGGTTTGTAGCTGTCAACTGTCAGCATTTCTATGTTTGCGAGTGAAGTGCTCAGTGAAGGGAAATAGATGGGGAGAGGCTGCTTGCACAGCAAAAGTATTCTCAAAGCTTGTATTTATAACTCAGAAAGGTGGCAGTAAGAAGTAAGCAGGTTAATTCATCCCAGTACCTGTTTCTTTAAGAATGGTTCCCGACTGTTAGTTTTCTACAGCTTTCCCCAGTTTAGTTCCAGATGTTTTTAAGGTTGTACTTTCACTGGTTTCTCAGAGCTTAGTGAACACTCATGCTAAATGTCTCTTTTATTAAAGTAAGTTGTTTACTAATAGTGGTATCTTCAGAACACACACAATAGTCTACTCTTCTTTGGAGCGTAGCATCTGCAGACACCAGGAAGGGAGTGTGTCCTCCCACCCCCATGTAGCACCTTGATTTTTGTTCAGTGAGCTTCGTGTGTTTGACTCTTTCCTCATAACCAACCTCTTTGTATGCACTCAGCCCTACCCCTTCTGCCCATCCAACTGACAAAAATCAGGGCTTCGTGCTTTTTTTTTTTTTTTTTTTTTTTTCCCCCCCCTGCTGTACAAAGTATGCTGGGGGGGAGCAGTAGAGCGGGACCTGGGAGGTGCCCGGCTGTGGTGCTTATCTAGCTCACTTGCTGGAACTATTGCACTGGGGATTGTCCTTAAAATCAGTGTTTGTGTGGTCCTGGATTAAGGCTGTGGATAAGAAGGGGTGGCTGCAGCTGCTCAGGATTGATGATACTGGCCATTGTCTTTAAGCTTCCCAGCAATGGCCTGGCAAGGTTTAGCTTAATGATACCAGTTCTTGTGTTCAGCTCTGTGTTCCTCCTGCCTTGCACTGGGTTTTGGGGGTTTCTTTATGCTGTCCCTCTCCACGTCATTTTCAGTTTCGGAGTTCCTTGCACGTCAGCATCCCTGTTTATGTCAGCATTTCGGGTTTAACCAATTTCCAGCTTTCTCTTTACTGAAACTTTTTCCTGAGCATTTGTGATCTTCTCTGTCTCAGGTGGCCTGGGGGATACTCAGTTTAGCTTCCGCCTCCGTCAGTCCGGGGGACAGAGGACCGCTCATTATGAGGATGATGGCGAGTACAATAGAGAAGCGCCCCTAACGCTGCAGGTCAGTTGCATTTCAGTGCACTACTTACACCTGCTAAGCAAACAGTAGCGTTCTTGGGTTAAAAGCCAAATAGATTTCTGATTTGTTTCCTATGCATAAAATACTCATTTCCTCTGGCCATGGGAACAGTCAGAAAAGGAGAAAGCTTTCAGCACAGGGAGTTACTTCCATGTTAATACTCAGAGGGCCATGTCGAGAATCCCAGCTACTCTGACAGATGGAAGTGAGTCGGGGGACCCCGGATCGGAGCAGTGGTCATGTCTAGCTACAGCGAGAAGATAAGTGGTGGCAGCCAGGTGACATCCAACAGGGTGCAGGGCTGCCTGCGCACGCTACCGTGAAGCACGACGAGAATATCCTTGTGGCAAATTAGATGTTTACCTCTTGTTGAGGGATGACAGTTCTTTTCATCTGTTGCAGAACCTATGTGTATAAAACCAGCCAGAATAGTTGGCATGCTGCAGATCCCCGCTTCGGCGTGCAGCATGCGGGCTGGTTTAGCCATGCCCAGGCCCTGATGGCAGGAGTGTCTGTTAGTTGTGGTTTATCCATCAGTGAGCTGCCTGCCCGTTCCATGCAGAGAAGGGATGTGCTGAGCACTGCTGCTTCTTTTAATTGAGGCGATGGCCATCAGATCCACTTGTCCTCTTCTGCTTTCTCCTTTGAGATGATGCTTCCTGTGCATGCGCCTTTTTAGCACTTCTGCAATTTTTTGGTGATACGCAATCCAGAAATGGATTGCTGGCCTGGGAGGGAGTAGGAGGATTTCTTTTCCTAAATTCCGGTCTAGAGATTTTTCAGTTTGCATACATCTTAACTGCTTTGTAGCAATCAGACACCATCTCACAGATTCACCTAGCTTTAAAGAAGGTGAGGGAAGTAAAACTGCCAAAGTACTGGATTCTGTGGTGGAAAAATAATTGCGAAGAGAAAAGGTGCCTTAAACTGTGGGGCCTGTGAGCCTTCAAAAAATGATAATGATGGTCTTTGCGTTTGGCACCGATAACTATCCTTCCTCCTTGCTGTCTGTGGGAACTTAGAATGCATAGCATGTTTGAAATGATTGCTGGGGATTTGTATTAAATCTCTTAGTTTTCGTGGGTGCTATGAAGCATCAGTCAGCTTTGTGCTTCATCCTGAGCGAAGCTGGACTGGTACTGCCTTAAATGCCTGGCTAAAGAGGAATGCAGTGGGGATGGTAGAGGCCATTTCCTCCTCTCAGAAGGTGATGCATTCCTTCCTCAACAACGCATTATCCTCTAGCTGGCAGAGAAAACTGACAGTCCAGGCACATGGGTGGCAGCAGGGATGAGCTCAGAGGGTTGGCTCAGCTGGTCCTTTTAGTGGAAACCTCAGTTAACACTTTAGATGACGGCCCCGAAGGTGCTGCAGAAAGGGGCTGGTGAAAGGTGCTGGCTGGAGGCTGTAATTTTTTGTGAAGTTCGTTGTTTGTATCTCCTCTCTATCTTCCTGCCTGGTCAACTCCCAGGTCGCTAAGCATGGACAGCTTTGGTGAATAGGAGGGAGTGCTGTAATTGTGTCGTAGCAGGAGTGAGGTGGCCGGAGGGAGCCTGGCGATAGCAGCGATCGCTGTCTCAGTAACAGCATTGTGGGTCTCTCTTGCAGCGGGAGTCAGCTCATTACTTCGGTTATGTATACTTCAGGCAAGTCAAGGACAGCTCGATGAAGAGAGGTTATTTTCAGAAGGTGAGTACTGAAACCAGATAGCTTGCTACTCTCAACCGGTACATAGCTGTAAAAAGGCACCTATCCATAGCTGTAAAATAGCACCGCTTCCTACGTGACACCCACAGTGTTTCTGCAGGAAACAGCAAAGGTCACGGAGAACAGGAATATGTGGAAAGTGTAATTCCAAACAAACCTGGATGCGGTTGCCATGGTGTCTTAATCACATGAGCGGTGACCTGCTGTCTGAATCATGAGATCCTGAAGTACTCGACCGTTTGCTTCAGTATGTACTCTAGTGTCGGACAGTGAGAGCATATACTTCATTACTGCAGTCTCTGCTAGTTATGCCTTAACCCTACTCTTATTATTGATTTAATTTTTCTTCTTCCAAGCAGCTGTCTGGGAGTGGATTTCCTGCTGGGCTGATTGCTTCTAACTAGCAGCAGTGACACTGCTGGTACCTCACCAACCTTGTCTCTTATCGTAAATTCCTTTGACACATACACTGGGAAAGAATAACATAAACTGCACGTTTATTTCGGCATAAATATGCAAAGTGCTTTGTATTATTCAGACAGATAGTTACGGTCACGGCCTGAAGGAGAGTGGAATTTCAGACTTCTAGAGAAAGAAGATATTTTACTTTGATCCTAAGATCCCTGTTTTCCCATGTGTCCTTGGAATTACTCTTTCGGTAGTGTTTTTTCACATCAAAAGCTAAAATGCCATCCTCTCAAACAAACAGCCTTTGAAACCCGCTCTTCAGAGAGCGATGCTTCATAGATCAGTCTGGTAACGTGCTGGAAGGGGACACCATGGGGACACTGTTCTGTCCCAGCAGTTACTCAGCCTGCTGTGCTTTCTCTCCTCCACCTCTAGGCAGTGACATGGAGTTTCTTCCAAAGAGACATGCCAGTACAGAAATGAGTTTCTTTGTCTTCACTAAAGCAGTAGATTGATCACTCAGAAACTTGGAGGATTAGAGAAACTGGACATCATGGGGACCTGACGAACAGATATTTATACCAGACTAATTTCCTTGCCCTTTGGTAGACTTACAAAAGTAATGGGCACATGGAATTCCTCAGTGAAGTATATTGTCACGCTCGGATGGTTTTTTTTTATTTGAAGTGGCAAAGTTTTGAGTTGGAAGGGAGGTGTTTAAATAACTGTTGCAGAAATTTTCACTGGATCCTAATTAATGATTAAAGGAAGAGAGTAATCATCATAGTAATGAAAACCCCCAGTGGGACTGAATTGGAAAAGTTGTAAAAAGCAGTGATATATCTCCCAAAGAAGCATTAGAAGGGAGCCAAAACAACAACAAAAAGAGGCATTGCTGGAAACAAATCAGCATTATTTCAAGTTACTTTGTTCTTCCCCAGAATTCCTTTATTTCGTTTATCTACCTAATTTCAATTTCAATGGTCTGCTCCTTTGCACTGCTCTGACTGATATGGTTGTTTTGGTAGCTTTGAACCTACCAGCAATTTATTTTCATTTTTCCTCCAGTTGATCTCTTGCTAGGTCCCAATCTCATCCCTCTGAGTTGGTAGAAGTTGCCAGCTGTGCTTATTCATTAAACAAAAAGCTCCTGGCCTGTGTGGGTACTCAGGGCCTCCCAAAGCGTGGAGGCTGAATAACTACGGAGCTAGGAGGAATTCCACCAGTAGAAGTGCTGCTTTTGAGTTCTTTCATGTTTTTGATGTTGGGTTTTAAGTGTAGCCCTCTAGTAAGCAGTGCAAGTATAGGCAGTGCTAGAAATGATCAAGTCAAAGGGTCCCTGACTCCTAAATGTACCTTTTTTCAGTCGTTGGTGCTGGTGTCACGCCTTCCATATGTGAACTTGTTCCAGTCGTTGCTGCAGCTGATTGCTCCAGAATACTTTGACAAACTGGAGCCGTGCCTGGAGGCAGGTGAGCCCTCAGATCTGGGAGGGGAGGGTTTGCATATCAAAATCTTTCAGAGGTTTTATCAGGAAGTTCTTGAAAGACAGCTGAAATGTTCCAAATTAGTTCATCCTGGAACAAATTCCAACAGGGAAAAACTTTCATCCAAGTGGTTGGCTTGTCAAAATTATAAACAGCTGTAAAGGATGCTTTAATGGGAAACGTCTGACAACCTTAATAGATGATGCTGTCAGTTTTGCATACAGTGTATTCCCAGAGAGAGGAAAAAACTGCTAATGCCACATCTCTGTCTAGGCCTTTACTGCACTATTCAACTTATCCGTGATTTATCAGCAGTACAGCGCTGCTGGGCCCGCACTGGGAGCGGTGGTGCAGACATAAGTCTGGTGTCTGACCTAAACTTGCACAATTATTGGATACAGTGTTTGTTTGCAACTAGCCGGGGGGGACACACGAACTAGGAATGAGTGATAATTAAATTGGCAGAATTCACAGGACCAGCTGAATTAGCTGTATTGACCTTCAGATTAAACTTTCTTCTTTACCTGTGTCCCTGCAGTCTGCAATGAGATTGATCAGTGGCCGCCTCCTGTGCCAGGACAGACCCTGAACCTTCCAGTGATGGGAGTTGTCATTCAGGTACTTGTTGCTGATAATCTGTACTCAGCAGCAGGCTGAGGCAAACTGGGAAGTGGAACACGTATCCCTTTTTCTTCTGGAGGTTAAAATTGCTCTTTGCTCTAGATTCTTTCCCTTTATTCCTAACCTCTGTACAATTGGAATTGATAATTGATGAAGCTTTCTCATGTGGATGTTTATTAGGAAAGACAGCAAAGCGTGTGTGCATGCTGACTGAGTCCATCTCCCTGGATAATCTGTTTTATTTGTAATCCAGGTGGGAATCCCATCAAGGGTGGATAAGCCAGGATCAAGCCCAGTGAAGCAGTTCAATCAAGAGGTGAGATGAAGAGTGGCATGACACAAGCCAGTGACGAGCAGATTTTAGACTACTGGGGAGGGAGGGTGGAGAAGAACTGGAACTCCTTCAACCTTGTCCTGTTTGAAACCACTTTGGCCAAAGACTAATGTGATTTAAGCTACCCATCTGGTTCAAACTGTGTGCTCTCTTACCTGTGTCTTTCAAAACAGGACTCTCTGCACAGAATTTGCGTGCTTCAAGTTATTTATGTGCCTCGTTCTCACAGTTTTTGTTCACCTTGCCTTTCCTGGGAATTCATGCATAGGTAGGTCTCCACGAGACCCTACCGTAGTGTTCTCTGTTTTGCAGCGTTTGCTGTCTGAACATCTTTACTGCTTTTATTCAGCTTTGATTTTGATTGTTTATTTGATTTTTTTCCCTTTTTCTCTCCTTTGAAAAACGTTGTCATATTTCACAACTTTTGGTACCCATATTACCAACCCTTATTGTCTCTATATGTATCTTAAGCTCTGCCTTGCCCCAGAGGAAACTCTAGAAAATAAAGGAGTAGACACAGGAAGTCTTTCATACCTTGAAAAGAAGGGATTCTTGGCTATCTTCTAGCAAAGGAAATTCATTTAGACCTTGAGTGCCCCATCCAGATCTGTTCGTGGCTCATACCTCTGAGCATTAACCTTGTTCTCTTCTTTTTGTGCTTACTGTAGAGGGAGCTACTCTGTGATTGATGTGGTCGGTTTAGATGGCATTTTAGTCAGGACGCTTCCATTTGCTAACGGTTTTGGGGTTGTTTGTGTTTTTTTCCTTCTTCATTTAGAATTTGTTACCAGCCCCACTGGTTCTCCCCAGTATTCACGAACTGGATCTTTTCAGGTGAGAGCCACCACCGTTGCAACCCTCTCCTCTTCATCTGCTTTCCCTTCCCCTTGCTCAGAGTATCTTACAAATCGTAGGAATAATGAAGAATGAAAAATCACTGCTTTGCAGGGTGTCAGTTAGAATACTTGGCTTGCAGAGCTCACGCAGTGTTTAAACCTGTGTGCACTGCCCTTAACGTAATCCCCCCCGTATCCTGGTGAGAGGAGTGTTTCTTTCCTTGGCCTCAGCTGGTGATCAGTTTAAGCCATAAAGCATACACGTTGTGTGTCTGAACCAAACTTTTCAGCATTACAGGTGCTATTCTAATAGACATACAGCCGCTGTAATCCACATGCATTCTGCTTTGTTTAGATGCAAAAAGCATACTGAGAGCAATGTGATCAGCGGGTTGTTTTACATTGCTTAAAGCATTTCCTTTAAACATGTATAAAATGGTTGAGCAGCAGCGTGTGTAAAGACACATGGCATTCTGTTGTGGGAGACTAAAAATCAATCCTAGATTTCGAATTCCCAGCTAGAAGCACATCTGGATGGGCTTATGTGCAATAACTGTGTCTGGTCTTTTCTGAACTGCATTTCTAACCCCATTCTTCCTGTCACTGACAGGTGTTTCCAGCCAGTGTTAATTCATATCCAGATGTTGTGGGAGCTGATGTTACTGGGAGAGCCAATTGTTGTAATGGCACCATCCCCTACAGTTTCTTCAGAAATGGTTCTGGCACTTACCAGGTAATGCCCTCAAATTCTGAGATGCAGAAAACTGTACTAATCAATTCTGGCAGTGTTTGTCTTTCAGATCCACTCTTCTGCTGAGTCAGCTGTGTTAGACTGAGTTTGCCTATGAAAGCATGTAAGAAAAATAGGACAGCTAGAGTCTTGCTCATATTCCACCAATGGCAGAGAAAAGTGACTCTCCTGTGTTGGGAGGCCTGATGGTTCATAGCCCTGAGGAACTTTGTCTCCCCAGCTTTGAAATCTGCTTTAGCAAAAAAAAAATCAGAAAAACAAAAAACCCCAACCCTGGAACTCCTCCAGAGTGTTACCTCTGGCAGGACAAAACACTGCTCTAGGAGGTAAACCTGATGTAAACACACAATCCTCCTCTGAAGTTTGTATGGCAACTATTCTGTCTTTTGTTACAGCTGCCTTGCTCCTCTGAGGTACTGTTGTGACTACCGCCCCTATTTTACTATCCACGACAGTGAATTTAAAGAGTATACCACCAGGACACAAGCTCCGTAAGTAGCCAGTAGACCCTTGCTACCCGCTCGCCACTCTCTGTGTGAAGGAAACCCCGAGGTTAGCATTGCTTTGCTTTTTTTCCCCCTCTTCCTAGGCCAAACATCGTTGTGGGAGTCACAAACCCTTTCTTTATCAAAACTCTCCAGCACTGGCCGCACATTCTTCGGGTTGGGGAGCTCAGAATGTCAGGTAAGGGTGGAACCAACGTCCTGTTGTGCTGGTAGACCTTGTTAGGGGCTAGTAGTGAGCTGGCAGTTGCAGTGCTAGCCATCCCTGTCCACATCTGCGTTCCTGTGAGAGCTGAGAAACCAAAGGGCAGTCTTGACTGACTCAGTCGATGTGCAGGATGAGCACAAACAATGGTGAAGACAAATCATGATAACTTGCTGTCATTTTTGTTTCTGAATCATTAAGAAAAGGAGAAGTCCTTCCTGGGCAGGAAAGAGAAAATTGCATAGGGAGGAACAGAGAGGTGGAGAGAGAGACTCTGATTAGTGTCTCTGAAGCCAAGAAAACCTCTAGGTTGAGGAGTAGGTTTTTTTGCAATGCCCCCTTAACATGTTCCTGTTCCAACATTTTAGCAGGAAAGTTAGCAGATGAGAAGGCCTCTGTGGGGGTGGAGTTGAGGGAGGATGTGATTCCAGTGCGAGTGTAGGACTGAATGTTCTCGAGTGCGAAGTCTCGTGTGCGTGCGGTGGCTGTGAGGGCAGACTCGGAGCCCGAAGAAGTCATTTGGTGTCTTTCCACAGGAGACCTGCCCAAGCAAGTTAAGGTGAAGAAGCTAGCTAAACTAAAAACTCTAGACACGAAACCAGGTAAGTCCGTTTGTCAGACGTCATTTGATTTTGTTTCCCCTTCCACATGGGGGATTGTGCAGGCATGCGAACACGGCGTACCTTATTCTTTGCATCTCAACAAATGCACATTTTAGCGTTATCATCTTCTCACACTTGATCGGCGACACAGTAGGGCATGCCCCATCTGGTACAGAAAAACTGTATAGCTTTGTTCTGAGATTGAAAAAAACAATTTAAATTAATTGAACAAGTTATTTTAGTGTTGGGGGAACAGCTTCTCATTTTCTTGGGTTTATTTCATATATCGTACCTGCTTTTTAGATGTGATGGGAGTCAAAGGAGCTGGCTTACCTAGAGCGAGCTAGCTGTCACTTAACTGCCTGTTCACCTCAGGCCTAGCCATAACCTGACCCCAGTAAGTTACCTCACCAGAAGCTTAACATGAGAAGGTCCTTGAGATAGTTCAGTGGCCTTTAATCCTGCTGTGAGTACTGGCTGCACTAGCAAATCCATCATTTAAAGATTATTTTTTAATAATTGTTTTAATTATCCACACACACAGAGCTGTCAGGGTTTGTGCTGAGTTTCAGTCCTACCCCTGCACTGTATAACAGCACCTCCTCTACATATGTGGGCAAAGATCTGTTTCTAACTTCTGGTTCTGTTGTTTTGTTTTGTTTTTTTTTTTTTTAATTTAGGAATCTATACTTCCTATAAAACATTCCTTCACAAAGACAAAACCCTGATAAAAAGATTACTAAAGGTAAGCAGTTTCCACTCTATCCTACATCCTGTATGTCATTGTGGGAAAACTGCTAACAGCTTGATTTAAACAGGCAAAACTCTCCAGAAGGAACAGGCTTTTTACTGTGCGTAATGCTTTAGTCAAGTATACTTGGACATGTTTATCATGCCAGTTTTAAAATTTTTGGCTTGATATTATGGATTAAATGCTGGGTCTACCTCAACCTGCGTGAGAAGAATTCTTATCAAAAAAAGAGTCTGAAAAAACAGATTCTGTGGAGTGAAATGTGAGCGATGTGTTTAACTAGAGAGGGGAATACGTATTTTGGGCGGCACAGTTTTCCAGACTTCTCTGGGCGGGCTGCTTATAGCTGCAGCGTTTGCAAATTCTGTGTCTGTCTGCATAATAGAGAACAGCACCTTTGTGAATGCAGGGCTTGTGCTTGCAGGGGATTCAGCGGAAACGCCCGTCTGAAGTCCAGAGTGCCCTTCTGAGGCGTCACCTCCTGGAGCTCACCCAGAGTTTCATTATTCCCCTGGTGAGTTGGGCAGAGACTTGTCAGGGTGCTGTAAGGGTGAGGGGGGGGTGAACAGGAGATGCTGGAGTGACAAGTTTGCACTTGCCCTCTTTTATTCACCCGCACCTGAGCATCCATAATGGATTCAGGATGTGGCACTCCATAGAGGTGTTTTACTCCATGGAAAGGAACTGAATGCCTCTTGAATGCAAATTTCAGCAATTAGCATAAACATCTGCAGGTTGGATGTTCAGCACACCACGTGTAAAGACAGAACATTGTTGGTTTCCTGCGAGGTAGGAATAGTTGATTCTAGTGCCAACTCTTCGCCCTTTTCGGCAGGTAGTCAAAGCAGATATACAGGGAAGGGACGGGAGCCCCAAACGTTCCTCTTCCCCTCTAACGCTGGACTGAAACCCGCTGCCAGTGGGAATCCACCCATCTGGCTTTGCAAAGCATTGCTGTAGAGCTTAAGAGGGCTGTCCAGGTGGTGCTCACCACCCCAAGGCAGATTTTGGCGAATGCTTTCTTTCAAGGCCTTCTCCGTCCCATCCCACTAGGAAGCTGCTGGTGCTTTTTTCGGTGACCATCCAGTTGGCCAAGTTTGGCTCCTCCACTTTCTTTTCTACGTCATCTTGGGAGGTAGTACATGGGAGGACAGAGCATCTTCTCAGATTCTAGTCCTTCCTGCCAACTTCTTCCCACCTGGCCTTTTCTCCCATGGCATGCGTGGGATTCTCACAGTGTAGTTTTGTGACCTAGTCCCTGATGGGAAACAAGCGGGAACACAGGCTCATGTAAAAAGCAGTTATGAAGAAAAAACCCAGAGAGAGTAGGAGGGAGGCTGTTGGTTGGGCCTGTGATGTTTTGGAGAAGACTGTCAAACTCAGTGACTATGCAAGAGGCTCCTTGATTGTTATAGCTTCTTTTTCTTTTATTTCTTCTTAGGAGCATTATATTGCAAGTCTGATGCCTCTGCAGAGGGCCATTACTCCATGGAAGGTATGTTCAGTTTTCCAATTGCATCTGCTTTCCTTTGACTGCAGGGATTGGCAGTAGTTATGCCATATGCTGAGCACATACTCTGATACTCAGTGTGAACTTCCCTCATTGAAGGAAGAGGGTTATTACTCCCTTAAAAAGAAAAAAAAAATAAAGCTGAAACAACCATTGGGACAGATGCTTCCTGTTTTGCTGTAAGCTCAGCTGTTGTGAATCTAATTTGAATTTTACCAGCAAGGCTGCATTAGATGCCTGTGCATTTTTTGTTCTAGTTGCTGAGCCTGCCCTGTGCAGCCTCTGCCATGGCAAATACAGATCTCATTTCCCCCCCGTTTCTTGTGGGTGCTGTGTAATATGGTCTTTCTGTTGTGCAGAATCCCCCACAGATTCGTCCTTTCCGTCAGGAAGATTTCATGAAGACCCTTGAGCATGCTGGTCCCCAGCTTACCTGTGTACTTAAGGGTGACTGGTTAGGCCTCTACAGGTAAGGTTTCGGTAATTACTCGCCTTAACGCCTTCACAGCTGGTGCAAGTTACAGTGGACATCAAATCCTGAATTAGAATTGGGAGCAAAAAGGGAGTTGCAGGACAGAGACTGGTCACCTGACAAACTCATGCCTGTGAAGAGCTGATTAGCTACTAATGGTCAGGAAGAGCAAATGCAGAGCAGAATCAATCCTGCGTTTTTAATGGGTCAATACAGTTGGGTTTAGAAGCTGTCGGCTCTCCATCTTCAGGAACTTCAACTAAGTCCTCACTGCTGGAGAAGGACACTCGTCTCTGACATCAGCAGTGTCATTTGTTGGGAATCTTTCTTTTTGAGGAGTCTGGTCCTGGGCAGATGGTGTATAAAGACTTGTAGATCTTGATCCGGTGTGTTTGTAAGCGTTCAGGACAACGGCCGTTTCATTATTACTGCAGGATGGCAACGCTGCTAGAACACAGAAGGACCTAGTTTCTTCAGGGCAGAATTCAAGAGCGTGCAGGAAAGTTTGTCCATCGTTTTTGTAAAGGATAATTAGTTATAAACGGGAAGGAGAAGACACTGATCACAATATGAGTAGGAAAAATCCAGAAATTGGTCACCCAGTGGGAAGGGAAATGGGAGATGTATAGATATGGAGAAGGGAAAAAATTCCAGAAAGCGAGCAGGGACAATAATAATGGATTAGTATGTTTTGTTGCTGTGATAAAGTTTGTACCTTTCTGTGCTTTGAAAGTATTTAGCGGAAAACAAGCAGTTCTACTCTTTATGGTGTGGGTGTGGTAGACAGATTTAATTTTGAATATCTAAGATTTTGAAGAATAGTAACAAAGAACAAGCAGTTTCAGTAAATTGGTTGAGCTTTGCAGGCAACTGATGTACGTGCAGAATTTTACCCATTCCAGGGTTCTTAACCCCATGAGATTTTGTGCATGTACTGTTTCTTGTGTTCCTGAGCCATACCCCTGACTGAAAAATGAGTCTGTCTTTATCGCAGCAGCATCTTGAGATCTTGGCTGGGTTTAGGACTCTCTGTGCTGGGGAGAATGCCTGAGAAAGTGTCCCTGACGTTGCAAAAAGAAATGGTACAAACATCAGCTGAGTTCTGCTGGTGAAATGCTCTCTGCAAGCAGCCGGAGGGAGTAGCTCGAAGAGATAAGTGGGCCACTCTTATTAGAGGAAAATGCTGAAATAGGGCATCTGAGAGATCCCCACTGTTAGTGAAATTGTTGCAAAGAATGTGCTGCTAAAGTGGCTGTTGCTCAGCTCTATGTGGCAGCTTAAACTTTCTCATCTCTCCCTTTCTCTGCTGCCACAACCCTTGGCTTTCAGCGAGTGGCTTTTCAATCCCATTTCGAATTTGATCTAAAGTTCTGCAACACTCTGAGATAAAAGCAGGTATTGTGCTGCCCCCTGTTCATTTTCTTGCGTAGCTCAGTAAAAACGGAGGTTTATTACTGTACTGCACCGGAGAGGTGGAAATTACACATCCTTTGTCATAGCCTAGATGACACCTTGTTTATGTAGGAGGGTTGTAAATCACCAAATAAATGGGACTTGTGTCTGTGCTAGCAAATGGTTGAAAGCTTTAAATATTGGGAAAGGAGGGGAATTAAGCAAGGTGCTGCAGAGGAGTGTGAATTCCTTCCCATGTTGAACCATCCCAGTTGTTATAACTCCAAAGGAAAAATGGGCCAAAGTCAAGCTGCCGAAGGGCAAAGAGCACGGCTGCTTGCATGGGCCGAGGCGTGAGCTGGCAGGATTGTCCCTCTCGCTGGTGACGAGCTGCTAAAGCCGCTCAGCTGTGTCACGTTAACGCCTGACAGAAGTAGGCCAGATCGGAGAAGAGCCTGCTAGCTCATGATGGGTCACTGTCCCCAATGTCCCATCCTCTGGCGCCTGTGTCTGCTGCGGTGGGAGGGGGAGCCTGTGCAGTGGAGCCAGCGGGCTTCCCCAGCTCTCTGCCCCCTTCTCAGTGTCCCCTCCCTTTCTGCAGGCGTTTCTTCAAGTCTCCCAACTTCGATGGCTGGTACCGCCAGAGGCACAAGGAAATGACGCAGAAGCTGGAGGCCCTTCATCTGGAGGCCATCTGTGAAGCGGTATGTCCCAGCTGCAGGTGTCGAAACCAGCGCTGAGGTGGTTCCTTCTCGGGCCTGGCGCCTGGGCGCTGGGAGCGCGGCGACCTCGGGCGCTGGGTTCTGCGCTGAGGGGTGGGAGCCGGGGCCCGGGGCCCTCGGGAGTCGCAGTTCCGCCTCGTGCCTGTCAGGGCGCGGGAGTAACAGCCCGTCTGGGGGACAAGAACGCGAGCGGCTCAGCTCCCCCGCTTCGTTAGCCAGTGCAGGTCCTGCTCTGCCTGCTTTCTGCCAACTGATTTTCATTCATCGGGCCCTTCCCAAGCCAACAGACTGCCAGACTGGAAGCGTCATCTCTTGCTGGCTTCCTTAGTGCCTAATGAAAATAGGTAGGATTTGTAGTAGTGACTGCTGGTACAATTTCTTAAACTGGGGTAGTCCCAGGAGCTCTGGCCTCCTGCCCAGGTGCGTCTTCAGCTGCAGCGCCTGCTTCACCGTTCAGCAGCGCCGCCCCTCCAGCACGGCGTGGGCAATGCCAGAGCTGGCTCCTCTTTTAACAGGCCTGACTCCGGCAAGCGGATTGAAATTCTGAGCACGGCACCAGGCTCCCGGGGCTGCCTGCGCGTTACTGCGTCTGTCCTTGGTTCTCCTGCAGGCAGGAGCTCGATGCTGCCCTGGGCAGACACGCGGGGAGAGCTCCGTCGTGCTCGCTTCGGCTTAAGGGCTGCGAGCAGAGTTGTGACAGAGGATGAGAAACTTCCCCCTTGCTTTCATTCCAGGCTTTGCTTAAGGGTATCTCTTTGAGAACAGCTTCTGTAAAGAGGAAATGTCCCTGAAGAAAGCTGTTCTCTCTCTTTAGAACATTGTGGCCTGGATGAAGGACAAGTCTGAGGTGGAGATTGTAGACCTGGTGCTAAAACTCCGCGAGAAGCTGGTAAGTTTTCCTGCAGTCATTCCTCTCTGTCTGTGTGTCTGTGGCAGGGAGAGACCAGGGACTTTTGCTCAGAAAACTTTGTTCTCATTCCCTGATTTGGAGAACTGGCAAGTGGGACAGTCACGAAGCTTCAGTGTTTGTGCGGGAAAGGATTCAAAGTTCTGAGTCTTTCCATCTTCCTGAGGCTCAGGTGACAGTTCCCTGTCTGCTGTCTCACACCCTGAACTAAAGAGACAACGTGACGTTTGCTGAGCCAGAGGCAAGGCGGAAAGAGGAACTTTGAAGCCATTTTAAAATTCCGCTCTGTCTCGCTGTAGGTCAGAGCCAGGTGCCAGCACCTCCCTGTGAAGGAGGAGACGCTGCAGCGGGTGGGCCTCTATGTCGAGACCGTCATCGGCTCCTTGCCGGAGGATCTGCAGACTGTGCTGCACCACCCCTGAGCACGGGGAGGGGACTCTCGGGGAGGAGGACGGGCCCTCCCTCCCACCCTGCTCCGCGCTGTGAGCACCTGCAGCTGCCTTTGGAAAGGAAAGTTCTTCCCCGACCCAGGCGGCACGACCCGATGTGCGCCTTGCTCACAACTGTGTGTGGGCTCGAGCGCGTGAGGCAGAACCGTGGCGGAAGGCGGGGAGCCGTGCGCGCCGCGCTCTGTCTGGCCCCGCTGTAGGAGCTGGATTAGGGGACTGTAAATGAGAAACTGTTCCCTGCGTGGCTGTTAGTAGGTCAGAAAGCGACAGCCAGGCTTCCAGCAGCATGCGATAGGCTCTGCAAAACGTGTTGCCCGTATATCCACATCCATCTGTGTCTAATGCTTGGGCTCCCAAATCTTCAATGCTGTCATCCGGCCTGGAAGAAGCAGGACCAGCCCTGCGGGGGGGGGGGGGGGGGGGCGCTGTTTTCAGGACAGCTCCTGACGATAACGAGAGAGATGCCAGTCCCCCACGTACAAATGATGTGAAAAAATTGGCACTGCCCGTTCAGCAGCCTGACTCATGCCGGCAAGAGCTTCAGCTGTGATGGGAGTGGGAGGATGAACTGCTGGTCACGGAATGCTGCTGGTTTTGTTCCAAGGCAGAGGCAGAGAAGAAGGGGCTGGTGCACCTGCAAGGAACAGAGCTCTCCCGCGACCCCGGCGGGGTGCTGTGCGAATGGCAACAGCTACTGGAGCTCCAGAGAGAGGAGCTGGCCTCCAAGCGTAATTTATTCTGCTTGAAAAATAAAGTTTGTGTGCTCTAATAATACAAGAGCTCTGGAGCTCTGCCTTGGGCGGTGAGAGACCTAATACGGTCAGCGGCCCACTCGCTGATAAAAGATGCTGGAGAATCTGATTTTTACAGCCGGGTGGGACCTCGCAGAGCGGCCCTGTGCCGAGGTCAGCGGGGAGCAGCCTCGCCAGCCCTCGCCACGGCTGGCTCTTGCCACAACCCAGCTTCCAGCTCGGTCATTCGGCTCCCGTTCGCCTCTCGGGAAAGAGAGACACGTGGGGCAGACTCGAGGCTCAGCTCCCGGCTTTGGAGGCGCTTGTCCTCTGCCCCAGAGCGCGCTGGCTGCCTGCTGCCTTCCCAGTGGATTTGCTGTAACCCCAGGGTGGATTGCTGCTGCTGTAACTACATTTCGCCAGCTGCCGGTCTGGCCAGGGCCTGAATGTTTGCTTAAAGGACGGGTTTTCGGAAGGCTCCGGCAGCCTGGCCCCACTCCTGCTCCGTGAGAAGCCCTGGAGCGTACCTTTACCCGTGGCAGGAGAGTTCAGCATTTCAGCCGGGACCTGCCCCGAGCTTGGGGGGTGGAAGCTGCTGCTGTGGCACCAGCAGCCTCTGCCCCTCGCTGTGGCGCTGGGCAGGTGGCCGCGAGTCTCAGAGGTGCCTGAGCCTTTCCTGCTTTTTTTCCCCTCCACAGCCAGGACAGGGCAGGAAGAGCAGGAGGCTGCTCGCTTTCCCACCGCCTCCAGACGTACATGGAGACGCAGCCGTACCTCCCCGCGGGAGCGAGTTCTGTACAATACTCCTTAGGGGCAGCCCGGCCTCTGCAGTGCATATTCTGTGTATGGAGTGTGCGTGCGCGTCCGTGCGATAGCTCTGCAGTGACTGTGATGGACCGAAACCCTAAGGGATAGTAGAAAATCCTAGTTTAAAAAAAAAAAAAAAAAATGAAGCCAAGCTCTGTCCTGTTTCGGAGTGTCGGTAGGTCGATGTGGTTGGGAGCGGGGCTGCGCAGCTCCCGGCCCTCGGCGGGGCGTTTCCTCAGGCTCCGGGCTCTGGCTCCGCACGAGGCTCCTGGTCCCATCCCAGACTCTCCGGAGGGTTTGGCCGAGCTCAGCCCAGCAAAGGGCGACTCGCACCCGCCTGCTGCTCTGCCTCCCTCTGCCCGACCCCCCCGGCACGTCCGAGGCACCCACAGAGCAAACCCTGTGTGGGGTGGGGGTCCAGCGCTCCAGAGCTCTTGCCGCGGGGGTCGGGGTCGCTTTGGGCTGCGTCTTTTCCCCCTCTGTGTACCCGGGTGAGGCCTTTTGGCCCCTGTGTGCCGGGCGCCACTGTCTTTTCTTCCCCCAGCTCTGTCACCGTCCTTCCACGGGTTTGTCCTTGCCTGGGTTTGATACCCAGAGCCGCCGGCACTCCTGGATCCTCACCTCTTTCTGCCCGCTTGCGGATTTTTGGCTTTTTATCATCCTGGCTATCTGCCCTTCCTCTCACACCCTCCGTAGGTGCTGGTTTGCCTCCTCCTCTTTCCCTGAGTTGGGATCGTGGCTCGGAGGGTGCCCGACGCGCGGCACTGGCTGTGGGCCCACCCCGTGCCTGCCCAACACGGCTCTCACAGAACCACGGCACGACTGAGGAGATGGGCAGCGTCACCCTCATTTTCATAGTCCTGTGCTTTGTGCCTCTTCCGCTCCCCCAACCTCCTCACCCTTCCCGCCCTTCCTTTCCTCTGGGAACCTCCTGGAGTGGGATCCCAGGTCGACCCAACTTGTCCTCCCCATCGCCGCGCACCTCTGCCTCTTTGCTCCTGTTTCTGCTCGCAGGGCTCTTCGGGGCCGCGCTGTCTGGCCGCGATTCACCCCTCACATCCTGCACGCGTGCGCCCCAGCGCCCTGCTCGGCCACCCGACACGTCCTTTCCCTTCCTTGCTGCGTCTTCATCTGTCCCAGGACACGTCGTACGGCCCCGGGGGTGGGAGGGGGCCCGGAGCTGCTCGGGCAGTGCTCAGCAGTCACGGGCGCATCTTCCCATCACCTTGTAGCCGTTCCTCAACAGCCCAAACATCCTCCTTCAGGTATTATTTCCTCTCAATCGCGTATTTTTAGCTTTGCGTTCCTCCCAAGGAGGCCAGACCATCTTTCCTGCAAACCGCACCCATTATCATCCTTTCTGCTTTCCTACCCAGGCTCGTGTGCGCCTTTTTCTCCCTCGCCCCCTCATCATCTGACGGGCTTTTCTGCCCCGCTCCTCACTCCCGGCCCTCACCCCTGCCCCCCCCCCAGCGACGCCAGCGCTGCGCTGCTGGTAACGACCGGCCCTGGGCCGGCCCCGAGCCCTCGCCTCCGCTCGGGGGGCGCAGGAGCCCCGGCCCCACACGCTGCCGCCCCAGCGCCCGGCCGGCCCGTGCCCCCACCCGCTGTCACCCCCCGGCCCGGCACACTGTCACACCCCTCTGCCCATCAGCCCACCTCAACACCTCTCGCTGTCCCCCCGAGCTGTCCCCCCCGGGACTGGAGGGCTCCGAATGCTCCCCCCGTGCCCGTTTGTGTTAGCCGAGGGCGCGCTGGGGGTGGGCACGGCCCCGCCAGCCCCTCCCAGGGCTTTGGCTTCGCACGGGTGATGGTGCTCGAGCACTCGCAGCCCCAGAAGTGCACGAGGTATGAGCAAGCATTCGGGCTGGTGTTGGTGCCGGAGGAGCCGGGGCCTGGCGGGAGGCTGCAGGGGCAGAATCGTCCCCAGCGCGGGCTCCTGCAGCTCCGTTGACATGGCCTTGGGCAGGAACCGTGCCCCGAGGCAGGAAGGAGCCACCAGCCGCCCCGCTCACCGCCTGTTTCCCTTCCTCAGCTGACAGCAGCAAAGCCCAGGAGCACCTCAACCACAACACCTTTATTTGTAAGCACCATCTCCCCAGCCCTGTGGAGAGATTTGGCTCGCTCGCCGGCAGAAAGCGTAACGCTGAAACAAGACCAAACAAATTAGGAAGAACCGCCACCTTCCCTGGGACAGTTGCAGTTGCGGGTCGGGTGCTGGAAGCTCTAGGGGTTGCCAAATTGCGGGCCACCAGCCGCCTCCCACGGCACCTGAATGCTCGTGAGCCCGCGGAGCCCGGCTGCTGCCGGCGGCCGAGTCCCTCCTGGCGCCGAGCTGGAGCATCCTTCTTCCAGAGAGCTCCTGGGCCAGCTCCCGCGGGCCAGCTCCCGCGCAGCGACTGCTCGAGGTTCTTGCTCTCTGCGTGGCGCACGCTGGGCTGCCTCCAGCAGCGAGGGGCTCCGGGTGGGCGTCCCACCGGGGCAGAGCCACCGCAGCCCCCGCCACCGCCGTCGGAAACCTGCCCGGCGCTGCCAGCGCCTCGCTCCAACCTTTCCAGGCAGGAAGGGCCAAATCCAGAGAGATCCTGCCGGGCTGCGGGGAAGTGCCGGGGACGTGCGAATCCTGCCGAGGCTTTGGGCAGCCCCCAGGCACCGGGATGAGGTGGCAGCCTAAGGAACGGTCCTCAGGGACTCGTCGTAGAAAGCCTTGAGGCCCCGGTGGTGCTGCAGGGAGACTCTCTTGCCCGTCACCTCCTGACGGAAGTTTTGCCTCAGCCAGCCGTAGACCAAACTGTGCAGGAAGCCCTGGAGGGAGACGGTCAGGGCCTGCGGGAGAGAGGACAGCGGCAAATGCTGCCCTTGAGCGGCCCCTGGGCTGCCCTGCACAGGCAGGGTGACACGGGGACACGGCGGGGCGGGGGGTGGCTTTCCTCTTGCTGTGGTCAACTAAAACAAGGCAAGCCGCCGGTCAGAGCTGAGGGGCAAAACATCAACCACCAAACGAGGGGGAAGAGCCCCGGCAGAGCCAGGGCAACCAGCAAGCCGGGGCCTTCGCCCTGCGTTGTCCTGGGTGGCAACTGGTCGGGTGGCACCGGCGCGGGGTGGCAGCACCCGCAGAGCTCGCCCTGCGCGCGGCTGCGGCACAGGGGCAGCGCAGCTCTCACAGCCCCCCCAGCCCATCCCACCCCCGCTCACGCCTCTGATGGGGACAAACGTCCCAGCTCTGGAGCCCAGGAAACGGGGTTTTACTTACTGTCGCAATGTAGAGGACAAAGACCGAGGCAGGTGTGATGCTGGTGAAGGAGAGGATGGTGAGGAGGAAGGCTGCAGATGGAAGACAAAAGGCCACACCTTGGTCTCCCTCTCTCTTAAAATGCTTCTGCTGGATTTTCCCTCCCCAAGTGGCAAATGTGCTTCCCAGGTCACAGCCTATTTCCCAGGGCACAGGGGTCTGCGTGTACAACAAGGTCCTTCCCAACACGCTGCCCAAGGACCTTGGGGTGTCACTGCCACAGGTTTCTGCAAGGCTGAAAGCGTAAATGGGCCCCCCCCTCCCCGAGGGATGAGCTGTTGCTAAACAGCAGGTCCATCAACCACCATCCACCCTCCAGCTCAGGAAATGCTGCTGGAAAAACCTGTTATTGCAGGAGCAGGGTGGGCTGGCCCCTCACTCTGGGTCTGCTCAGCCACGGGGCTCTGCAGGCACCCGGAGGCCTGGCAGTGGTTCGGTCTGAGCCTCTCGGCTCGGACCCGGGGGCTGCTTCAGCCCAGGAGTAAAGGGGAGTAAAGGAGCCGCGGTGGCTCTTGCCCGCCGGGGCTGCGGGAGCTGCGGGGCATCCCCCGCGCCGACTCGCCTGGCGCCCAGCAGAGCAGGAAAACCAGCTGGAAGTAGTGAGAGACTCTGCTGACGCTGCGGATGCTCTTGCCGGCGAAGCCGTCCTTCTCCAGGGTCAGCAAGGGCGCCGCGGCGTTCCTCCGGCACCGGAGCTTCACCCTGTGGTACAGGAGCTGGGCGGCGGGGAGCGGCGTCAGCCGGGGTGCGGGGGGCCGCTGCGGCCGGACCCCGCGCTCCCCGCCGTGCCGCACCGCGCCGCCGGCTCACCGTGCAGCAGCTGAGCACCAGCAGCAGGTACAACAAGAAGACGATTTTCCCTTCCAGGCCCACGTCCTTCCTACCTACGTACTGAGAGGCAACGGGAAATGAGCGGGGCTGCGGGCCAGCCCTGCCCGGAGCTGCTCCTTCCCCAGCCCCGCGGCCTGGGAGCAGCCGCCGCCGTGGCACTGCCGGAGCTGGGAGCTGCCCCTCTGCTCGAGCAGGGACACCCCTGCCCCGTCCCCCCCGCCACCATCCACCCACGAACCGCCGACCCGCTGCCTTCCCCGGGCCTTTCTGAGCCCCTCCCCGCCCTTGGCAGCGGCGACCGGGCAAAGGGACCGGTGGGAGGGACGGGCTCACCTCGTAGCAGATATCCTGGGCACGGTGGATGAGGAGCAGGCAGCTGCAAGGACAGAGGATGCCGGTGGCGGGCCCCTCATCCCCCACCCCGAAGCCTTCACCACCCAGAGGTGCCCTCGCGCGCCTCGCAGGGGCCGCAGCGCGCCCCAGCCCATCGGGAAGGGCGAGGGGTGCCCACGCCGGTGCCCCCCGCGGCGTGCGGGCGGCCGCAGTACCTGGAGCAGTAAAGGCTGTAGGTCTCGTGGGAGCGGTTGCCTTCCCGCGGCACGACGGGCTCAAGGGGTCTCGGCGCGATGTCGGTGAGGGAGGTGCCGCGGGCGAGCAGCTGCCCCAGGAGGGTGAGCGCCGGCACCAGCCTTGCAGGGAGAGGTGGAGGTGAGCGCCCGGCCGGACCCCGGCAGAGCCGGGGGGGGCAGGCGGCGTGCCAGGGTGCGGAGGGGGCCAGGACCCGGCGCTGGCACCTACCAGGCCAGGATGTAGGGCAGCCCCTGCCACGCGCTCGCCAGGCACCTGCTTCGCTCCTGCACGGAGAAAACAGCCGGTGACCCGGGGGTCTCGCAGCGGCTGGAGGCCCCAGCCCCGCTCTGCCGGGACACAGGGTGCAGGGGAAGCCGCTAACGCCCCAGGGAAAGGGGCTGCCCTCGGCTCACCCCTGCTGCTCCCCGGGTCCTCGCGGGGCCGGGAAGCTGCGTGTGCCCGGCTGCACCGTGGCCGGGGGCCACCAACCTGCAGAGCTGCCACGTGCCAGGCTCGCCAGCCATGGACGGTGCGGTAGGCTTCGTACGCGTAGACAACAACCATCAGGAACGAGACTGCATAGAAAGTCTGGGAGAGGAGAGGGAGAGCAGGCTCCCGCTGTGCCCAGCGCCCCAAAGGCACCTTCCCCCCTCCCTCCTGGTGCTCTGTACCCCGGCGTCCCGCTGTGCCCCGGCAGTGCTGGGCCAGGAGCAGCCGTGCAGCGAGGCAGCAGCTCTCTGGGACACGCAGCACCAAGAGCACACGGCCTCGTGCTCGTCCCCACGCTGTGGAGGGGGACTGGGTGGCCTCTCTGGCCGGTGGCTTTATCAGGGCAGGCGGCCGCGGGCAGGGACCACCCGGGTCCTTCTGTCCCTGCTGGGCTCTGGGTGCTGCCCCTGTGTCCTGCCAGCAGGCCTGCAAGCGCGGTGATGGTCGCCCTGCGGCCGGGCAAGCCGATACGTGCAAAGCGGAGCAGAGCTGGCCCCACGGTGCTGAGCCCCTCCTGGCCCCTCTCCTCGTGTGCGGCCGAGGCAAAGGCCCCATCGCTGGGGGGGGCAGGAGGGACGCGGCACCCGGCAGGGCAGAGAGCAGCCGGCGGGACCGTGGGCGCCGGGTGAGTTTGGGCATGAAGGGGAGAGCCGCGCGCTGCTTTGCTGCTCTGCCCCGGCATGCACGACCACCCCAGAGCTGGCAGCAGGGCACGGCGGGGGCGAGGGGGTCAGGGCAGGGGGGGACATGGCTCTGGCTTCACCGGGGCTGGGGAGAAACGCTGCCCGTGTTCCCCCAGAGAACCGGCCTCGGTGGCTCAGGACAGTGACGGGGGGAACAGGAGCCATTTCTCAGCAGGAGGAATATTCCCCACTCCGCGAGCTCCCCGCGGGATGCCCCAGCCTGCAGACGTGCTCCCAGGAGGTGCCCAGCTCCCGGTGGTGCCCACGGTGCGCGCTGAGCCCCTACCATGGCTAGCATCCGTCCGTAGGGGCAAGCGGCGTAGGCTGGGATGAAGAGCGGGGCTGGCAGCAGCTGGATGGTGGCTGTGCTCAGCAGCGCGGCGGCCGCCAGGAAATCTGCCAGGGCGAGGAGGAAAAGGGGGCGAAGCTGGGGAAGGGGACACAGCGTTAGCTCTGGCTGGCAGCTCCTGCCCCACTGTGCATCAAGCCCAGCAGCAGCGGTGCTGGCCCAGCTCTGCCTCGGGCTGAGCCGGGGCCGAAACCCATCCCCGGGGAGCCAGCGGGACTCACCTGGATGTGGCAGCATCGCCTCTGCCGGGAGGTGACAGCGAGGACCGATCCACTGCCCAGGAGGCTGGAAGAGACGGGGCTGGCGGTTAATGTCCCAGCACGGTGGCTTCCCACCCAACCCCATCCCCACGGGGATCCCGCGCTCTGGCCGCCCCGAGGTGGGCAGGGGCTGGCACGGGTACAGGCCGGGGGGGGGGGAACGGGACGGAGACCCGTGGTGCGAGGCCACATCCCCACACCCCAGGTTTGGGGAGCGAGCGGGGTGTGGGTGAGACGAGAGGCCACGCGTAGGCAGGGCCCCGGCTGCTGCCTCCCCCCCCGGCCCCACAGGGCCCAGCCGTGGCCGATGGGCCGGGGAGGGGTGGGCAGCACCCACCTCAGCAGCGAGGCCGGCAGGTAGATCCACGTCAGCACAAAGACCTGAAGGAAAGATTGAAAGGAGAGCGGGAGCCACAGCGGGAGCCCCGGCTGCCCCGCGGCGCGGGAGGTCGTGGGGCTGCAGCCACGGCCGGACTTGCTCCCGTGGGGATCTGCAGGTCACCGTGGAGCAGAGGCAAAAAAAAGGTGGTTTTCCCCCCAAGAGGCTGGAGCCCTTCGCTGGTGGTGGGCAAAGCGGAGGGGCCAGCGGTCGGTTCCTCGCCGGTGCCGCGGCGCGGGACGAGCCCCTCGGCAGCGGCTGCGTGAGGGGGTTTCCTGGCTGCGTCCCCCCTCACCCGGGGCTGGGGAGCACCGAGAAGCCCCATCCCGCTCCCGGCCCCGCTGCTGCGAGCGGCTCCCAGGCAGCGCGGCGTGGGGCTGCCGCTGAGGAACCGGCGAAACTGCCGGAGCCGACCGGGCTCCCGGTGAGTCACACGCAGCCAGCGGAGCGGGAGCAGCCGCCCCGGCGAGCACAAACCTGCAAAGCCCCCGGCCGCCGAGCCCCCCCTTTGCTGGCAGACGGCTGCAGGGAACCTCAGCCCCGTCCCCCCCGCCGCGGCGTTGCCCCCCATCCCCGCCGTGTGGGAAGCCCCCTCGGCCAGGCCCGAACGGGGTCCGCGTCGTTTGGCTTTCCCGGCTCTCCGCAGCGGTTTTCCCGCACGCACGCTGCCTTTACCTGGTTATCCGAGAGGGCAGAGGGGTGCTCCTCTTCGCTCGCCATGGCGGGGCAACGGGGAGCCAAGAGCTTTCCCAGTAGTTCCGTGCCACCGGGCACAGCGCCGGGGACGGGCTGGCCGTGCTGGAGAGGCTGGTGGCGGAGCAGCTCCCGCAGCCGGGACACGGCCACGGCTCTGCCTGCGCAGCGCAGCCGGAGGAACCTGCCCGGCCGGGGCAGCGGGAGCTTCCCCACGGACACGCGGGCTGCTACGTGCAAACCCTGCGAGCAGGGAGGGGATTGTGCTCGTGGGAGCCCGGGCGAGCCCGCGGCAGCCTCCTTCGCACCTCCCTCTCCTCGACGGTGCTGGGGTGCGGAGGCGAGCGCGGCCCTTCTCCATCCCCTGCACCCCCCCCGGCTGCTGCAGACAGCGCGCGGCGGCCCCACCTCTGCTGCTGCAGGCACAGGCAGACTTCTCCTTGCTGAAAGGGGAAACTGAGGCACGGGAAAAGGGTCAGTGGGGCAGAGGAAGCCTCGTGCAAGGTGAGCCCCAGAGCCCAGGGCCGTGCCAGCGCGCCGCGGGACGGCAGCTCTGCCAACACCGGGAGGTTGGGCAGGAGCGGGGACAAGGTGACGGGGCGGGGAGGGGGGGGTTCGGTGCAGGTGCCTCTGCAGGATGCGGCCCCACCGCTTGCCGGCAGCGGGAAGCTCTGGGGGGGAAAAGCCCACACGTGCACGGCGAACGCTGCCGAGAGCGGCAGAAAGGGGACAGCCGGGACAGCCACCCCCTCCCCGTCGGGGAGGGCAACGGTGGCGGCGGCCCCCGAGAGCGCAGGGGGCTCAGCCGTGGTGCAGAGGAGCGGGCCGCATTCGGCAGGAGCCGGCAGGGGACCGCGCAGACGTGCACAAAACGCCGGGAAAGCCGTACCCAGCGTGGGGAGGGGGGTGTTTGTGCGACGCCGAGCCGGGCTCCCCGGGGAGCAGAGCCGAGCTCGCTGCCCCCAGCGCCGCAGCCCTGCACCCCACGCAGCCCCCCCAGCCCTCCTTGGAGCGAGGGAAGGGCTTTCCTTCCACCCCAGCAGCAAAGAGAAGCCCTCGGTGCCGGCACGGCGCTCGGAGGGCTCAGCACCCCCCCCGAGGGAAGGGGCTCAGCCCCCTCGGCGGTGGCACCACCTCTCCCCGGACCTGCGGACCCCCTGTGGCCTCGCGGGGTGTGGGGCAGAGCGCCGGGCACCTCTCGGTGCCAAACTCCTCTGCAGCCCCACAAAGGTGCAGGAACGAAGAAGTTGCAGTCCCATACTCACAGGGACCTCCGGAAATCAAGGGGGTTGGTAATTTTTTTGCTAATTTTGAAATCAAGGGGTTTCTGATAAGCCAGCAAACATCCCCCTGGGCCAAGCAATGCCCAGTACCACCCAGGCCCAGCCGAGATCCGCCAGGTCCCAGCAATAACCACCCGGCTGTACAATGTTTTTCACTCAAGCGTGTGGACAAGGCTCACCAAACCCCCAGCAAACCCAACCTTCTCTCTACTACATTTTCTTTATCCTTGAACACAGCATCTCTGTCCGTCACAGGCTGCCACCCAACACCGTCCCCAAGGTCCACTGGGGTGTTTCGTACCCTCCCGTTGTGTTGCACGTCCACCTCCAGAGATGCTCACGTGTCCTGATGATTTCACAGCAAGGACAGGTCGAATTCACAAGCCAGAAAATTGAGTTGGTTGTTTGTTTTTTTGGGTTTTTTTACATCTGTTCAAGCAGTGTCCTTGCAAGACCAGCGACAGCCCCCCGAGCCCAGCAGCGAGCAGCGCCCGGCCTTGCCGGCTGCGGCAGCGTGCCGAGGGAGGCCGGGGGCGAAGCGCTGCCCGAGCACACGCCGGCAGCCAGCCCACGCACGGCTTGCCACTTAAAACCACGGCTCACCAGACTGCAGAGTTCTGCCTCAGTTTTATTTCAGAAGGTACTGGCTGACTGAAGAAAGAGGGAGGGATGCAGGGGAAGGTCTGAGGGATGGCGGAGGAGTAGGGAGAGGGGCTGCGGGGGAGCAGAGGAGGGAACTGCACTGGGAGAGCTGCACAAGGCTGGCAGCAGCACAGAGGACCTTGATTTGGCAGCTCCTGGAGATGTTCCCTCCCCAGCTCCCTGCTGCCTCTTTTGTAGCTGCTCCTTTTTTTCCTCCATCAGGCGAGGAAATGCTCCTTAAACCCTGCTGCCCACCGAGCAGCGGCCCCGCATGGTCCCAGCTGGGCCCCATTTTGTTCCCCCCTCACCGTCACTGCCACTGCTGCAACCTCCCAGCTGGCCTCTCTCTCACCAGCTTGGCTGGGAATTTTTCCTGCCCAGGACCAGAGGAGGAACCCGGACCTGGGGGTGGGGAAGAGCCATCTCCCAGTGCTCCTGGGACAGCGGCGTCGGTCCTGCTGCAGCTGACAAGCATCACAAAACCCTCCAGCACCAGGGATCTATTCCAGGTTGCTTCGTTCTCCGGGCAGAGGCTCTTCCAGAAGAGAATGAGGCAAAGGGAGAAAAGGGATCCCCTCTCAGCCTGTGCTTCGAAGCTGAAGGAAGCAGCATTGCCCCCAGGCGTTGTGGGGATGGCTCCTGCTGCTGCAGGGGAAGATTTTGAGCAATCCCTATGGTTTCAGAGACACCACTTGATTCAACCTTTCCAAACCGGGACCAGAGACCAGGTTCGTCTCAGCAGATCCCTTGGCTGAGCCAACACTCGTATTGCTGAGAAGTGTGTCAAAACCAAGGAACCCCAGGCCAAGCACTCCCTGCAACAAACTCTCCAATTCCTATCTATTGCCTCCATCAGAGCAGCAAGTGGATCCTGCATGGGGCCAACTGCTGAAGCTCTCAGCCTCTGTCCATACCAGCACGGGGAACTGTTGACTGCTTGGCTTTGTCATCCCCTCCCAAGACCTCCAGCAGGCACAGCCTCCGCCCGGGGCAAGTTTTCCCTGAGGATTTCTTGAGCAGAAATTGGCACCGAGGTTTGCAATTAGCCGGAGCGCTGCCCTTGCCTTCAGCAGGGTGGGATTTGTGAGGCAGATTCCGGGGAACTCAGCCGCTGACAGGACACCTGCACAGCACTGAGAGAGGAAGGGACTCCATCCCGCCCAACGGCTAAAGCTCTTCGCTCGTCCCAGGCACTCGAATTGCAGAGGCACCCACAGCCTCTGGCTCCCCGTGCTGAGAGGCTGCGAGGTGGGGAAGGGTGCGTTGGCCGGGGGAGCCCTGCTCAGCAACCACGGCCTCTCACTGCCCACTTCCTCTGCGAGAAAAACCACGTGTGCCCGGGGCACGCTCGGGTAAAAGCGCAGCGGCAGCTGCAAAGCTGCAGCCGTGCGAGAAGGGTGCACTCACGGGCGAGCAGGACGCACCCTGCGCTGAGCAGCAACGGCTCGTCAATCCCGGCTGAGCCGGCGTGAGCTGCCAGGGGCGCGGGGGGTCCCCCCCAAAAAGCTGCCCAGGCTGTGCCCTGCGCCCAGGCCTCCCCGGGCAGTGCAGCAGAGAGCTGCTCCACCAACCCGCCCCTTCGCTCCGCTCCAGGACCCGCAGGAGGCTTGTTACAGCAAGACTTAACACCAGTGTTTACCAACACTTTCCCTGTACTCTGGGACTGGGAAGTTGTGCTTTAGTAGCCAAGCTTTAATTAAAACCAAAGCAGGTGCATGCAAACAAAGTGAGATTTTGCCTACGCAGATGAGAAAGCTCTAGAAGCTTCAGTAAAAGCACAGCTGGGAGTAGCCGGTTCCCAGGGCTGCAGGCAACCACCCAACCTCTCTGGAAGCAAAACATCCCTCCCTGGTTTTGAGAGAGCAGTGACCATTTAAATATCAGCACAAACACTTCCTGATGGGCACTTTTCCAGAAGATCCAGCCAGCACAGCTCTTCCCACCCCACCGAGATGCTCCTTCCCATTTCAGATCACTCAATGCCAGCAGGCAGCACCGGACACACCACAGCTGGCACTTTTTTTTTTTTTTTTTTTCCCCTGACCTTGCATACCCTTCGTTACAGAAAGCATCAGCACCTTGCCCCAGACCTCAGGAGCTGTTCACCACAGCAGAGAATGTTTTGGACAGAGAAACCCACCCTGCTGACCCTGCAGCCCCTGTGCAAGCTGCCCTGAGACACAGCATTGACCTCCCGGCCCAGCCAGGACCCAACCTCAGCCCTCTCATGTCCCTTGCTGCTTTCCTTGTGTCGCTTTTCAGAGGCAGGTCCCATCCCAGGGGAGCCAGCCCTGGCGCTGCTGCACCCCAGGGTCCCCGTCCCTGGGGCACTGGGCGACCAGTGGGTGCCCTCTAGTGGCCCCAGCACCCAGGGGATGGGCTGGGGAGATCCCCAGGGACTCGGTCTGTCCCTCCAGACAAGTGGCTGCTTCCCTTGTCTCAACCTGGCAGGGGGGAAGACAGAAGGCAAAGGGAACGCACCAGAGTAAAGCCAGACGCTGCCCTCGACCAGTGAAAACATGAGCTCTGAGGGTGAAACAGCACGTTCCCCTTCTCCAGCCTGTCGGGTCTCCAGGAACCCGAGCACAGGGCTCAAACAACAAAAGGAAATTCAGGTTCCCACCGCAGCAGAGCGCAAGAGGAGTTTGCTTGTGCCAGCGCCGGTCTCACACGGAGCCTGGCAGCTGCCCTCCCCGATACCGGGGCAGGAGCAGGCAGCTCCTCGAGGTCCTGACCCTTCTCACACAGCCCACCAATACTCAAAACACTCTGCTTTCAGCCTTGCAACCGTTTGTAAAACACCTATTCCAGCCATCTTCCCCCTGAGCCAGGGCTTTCAGCTCAGTCATTCTGGGTCTAAGCAGTCAGGAGCCAGAGCACAACTGCAAAACACAGGAATGCCAGCAGGGAGCTTCCAGGGGCCCACCAAAGCCAGCGGTGTTTCAAAATGTTTGGCTTCCTTCCTGCCATGCTCACCAACCTGCGGGAAATTACATAAGAGCTTCAAGGTCTATGCAGCAAGCGGCCAGGCCCTCACCCTCACGGTGTTCAGTGCAAGCTCAGGGCACACGTTGCCCTCAGAGCAGTTATCTTCTGCCCCTCACTGCTTCTATCCCAGCAGGAGCAATGCCTTGCTTCCCAAAACAACATTGCAGAACACCAAAACTCCACTGAAACTCCCCAAACGCTCCGAAGCTGACTGCTGAAGGGTCAGTGTGCCTATCTCAGCTTTTCCTCCGTCTGCTTTCTGCATCACCCCAGTTCCCACCTCAAACAGGGGCAGAAAGCTCAGGTATCTGCTCTAAGAGAACTGCTACATAGCACTGCTGGCTTGACACTGGTGGGGAAACACTGCTTGCAACGCTGCAGTTACCAGGGTCCAACCTTAAATACTTAGGATATCTGTTCTCCTTCCTGGGAAACACCGATATCCGCAGAGAGGACCCCTGGTCAGTAACGGAGCACACCGTAACGTGCTGTGCCATCAGATGGCCCCCAGCGCTACGAGGAGCTGCTGAATCCACGGTATAAATTTGGCTCTCCTTAAAAAAAAAAAAAAATAAAAATTAGAAAACGCTCTAGATCTTCTGCATTTGGATGATGCTGGTAGTTAAGACTCATCCTTCTTGCAGGATTTCAGCTCTTTGTCTTATGTTATTTTAGCACCGTGTTAAGTGCTTCCCCCCCACTTTTAAATCTTTTGAGTCAGAAGCCTGTCTACTGTTTGAAGATACAAGCAAGTTCCACTCTAATAAAGCTCCTCACCCTACGCCTGACAGGTAGGGATTCTTTTTAAATTGTGCTTAAAAAAGCATCAGTATCTTCAATTTTTTTTTTTTTTTTCAATCTAGTTCCAACTCAGAGCAAATTCTCACACCAGAGAGCACTGTGATCCTACTGGAATAGTCGGCACAATGCTACTTTAAATTAGTGCTAAGAGCACTAGTTTAAGCCCAATTCTTTGCTGAAAGCTCCCTGCACCATTGCAAAGTTGGGAAGAGGTTACACCACAAGTGCAGTGGTCTTAGTTAATAATCAGAAACTTGTTACTATGCAAAAGCAGTTAGGAATAAAAGCTACCATCTCATCTCTTCCCAGAAAGCCACCAGCTGCTGTAAGCTGACTGCTTTGTAATGGTTTGCTTTTCTTCTGGGCTGAAGTGCAGAATAGTCAATATGGCAGTTAGAGTCTGCTGGCGACCCAGAGAATCTGGCAATGTCAAAAATCTATAAACAATGTTTTTGAGGTATTCCAGGTTGGCTCCTTCTCTGCTCTTATCTCTGAAGTTCTTCTCGATTTCGCTTTGAAGTGCAGATACCTCTTCCCGGCGTTTCTCCTCCTCAACCAAGATTTTCTCCTGGAGCTGGTGAACTTGCATTTCCAGCTTGCGCTTCTGCTTCCTCAGCGCTACAATTTCCACTTCTTTGCGAGCCAGCTGCTCTGCATACAAGAAGAAGGTGGGCTCACTGGTGGCGGAGAGGTGAAGAGCCTGGGGGAGAAAGTCTGAGGAATCGTTACCCGGTGAGTCACTGCCAGTAACGTCAGTCCCTGATGCTAGGTAGTTTTTGGGACCTTGAAGCCCGTAAGGCAACGTGACAGATCTCAGCTGCTCCAGCTCTTGGTCCTTTTCTGCCAGCACCGCCAGTGCTCGGTCCCGCTGCTTGTGCATCTCCTCCTCCAGCTTCAGCGCCCGTTCCCTGTAATCCAGCTGGCACCGCTCCAACTCCTGCCTATGAATTTGCTGCACCTGGGACAACTCTTGCTTCTTGGCTTCCATGTCTTGCTGGTGCTGCTTCTCCATTTCATCAGAGGACAGCTGAAGCACAATGTATTTCTCTTTCAGGTCCGCTAGCTGCTCTTGAGCTTCCTCCAGTTCTTTAGCCAGATTGCCATCTTTGGCCGACTTGTTCTTGAGAACCACTTGTGCCCTCATCTTGTACCTTTCAAACTCTTCCTTCAGCTGCTTCAGCTCCTGCTGATAGTACAAAGCAGTGGCCTTCTCGCCATCCCCAGCCTCAGTGCCCTTTGGCAGCTCCAGCTCACACAGCTTCTCGATGTCCAGAGCGGGTTGACTCTTCTTAGCTGCTGCCTGCAAGAGCTTTTTCAGCTTCTCCATTTTATCCTTTAGAACATTAACATCAAGGTTGGCTTCTTCTATGTGAACATCAACAGGGGATCGGCTGGAAGCAGCGATGGCCAGGGTTTTGTTCTCCAGGTCCAACTGTACGATGCGGTCCTTGAGCTTCTGAATGATCACCTGGTCTTTCTGCTTGGCTTTTTCGTAAGTGCCAAGGAGTTCCGACACTTCGGAGACTTGGCCCTCCAAGTCGGCCACTCGCCGCTCCTCCATCTGGGCGTGCTGGCGGAGCTGCTCCTCGGCCTGTGCAGCCTGAGAGCAGAGAGACACGGCAGGGTTAGGCTACCTCAACGCCCCGGGCAGGAGGTCTGCGGTTTACACGGGGGCTTCATTCTGCTCTGCTGAACTCCAAACAAGTGCAGGGCCATCCTCTCCCCTGAAACCCCACACAAGTCACCACACTGAGCTGCCTTTTTGGATATTGGTTTATTCGGGGATAAAATAAACTGAAAGCATTTTTGCTTTTGTTCCCTGCTGCTTGGCAGAGTTCCTGTTACCAGCATTATCTGCGTTGCTGTAGGTGTGCAGGGGGGTGGGGGGTGGTGGGAAGCAGCAAACTCACGTCACAATCTGCTACAGGGTTTTTTTAAAGCACGTGCATGTGCTCTATAGCTTTCACACATGACTGCAATTTACTTAAATCCTATGCTTTGTTGCACTGATATTAAAATAATTCAGTGGTTTCTGAGTAGCTACAGCAAACACCTGGTGTTCACAGCTATTGAGATCTAAGTGACTATTAAGTACTCTGGACAATGGCAGCATTTGACAATCACCATCGTGAACTAAAACACAGCTGGAGTCAGGTCCCCCTCATCTCTGTCAGAGAGCAGCTGTTAGAGACCACTTCCAAAAAAAAAAAAAAAAAGCAAATTGCATTAAGCCAGCCTGATGCTTCAGATTAGAAATAAAACTTGTTCCAGAGTGCACGGAGATGAGGAAGATCCCATTCCAGAGTGTTTCTAGATGCAAATGCAGTTACTGGAGCCAAACCCCCCATGCCAACCCCTGAGCATGTTGCCCCACAACCTGCAGTTACACAGGTTCCTCTTCTCCACCACATCCCTCTTTCTAGCTCTTTGCTCTCCCCCTACATGCACACAGGCTCAAGCCCTTCTGTATTTATCTTTGTTCCTTCCCTAGAGCATTCCGAGTTTCTCTGAAGAAGGTTAGTTTTTATGAACTCCTGTAATTGTACCCTGCATTGCACTTACATAATTTACAGAGACACCACACTCATAGTCACAGTGGGGCAGAGGAAAGGTCCCTCCTCCCACACTCAGCCACCATCACACCAGACAGTAACGTGTTCAAAACCAAACGACACTGTGGAGGACAGTCACCGTGTAATCACCCCAAAGGGTGCTCCCAAACCCAACGCTCACCACCCCCCCACCCCCCCCCCCCCGATTAATGATTTAGATGCTGTTTCACAAACAGCTTCAATTTTCCTCCGGGACTATCAGTCCATTGATGATAGCCACAAGGCTCTCATCTATTTCACACCTTTTGGGCTCTGCGGGACTGGGAAGGGGAATTTGTGCTCCTCCAGCCTCAAACCCTGCCCCAGTCGCTGACACCCCCCCGGGGTGAGCTGCTCCGGGGCCCAGACAAGGAATTACCTTCTTCATCTCCTGCAGCAGCTGCACTTGGAAGTGGTTCTTCAGGCTGGCCATCTCCACCTGCAGACGCTGTATCCGAGGGTCTGGCTTGTTGTTCTCCTCCTGAACAGCTTGCAGCTCTTTCTTCAGGTCTTCCACCTCCTGGCCCAGCTGCTTAATCTGCAGCTCGTACCCCTCGGCGCGGTCAGCCATGCACGCCCTCCCGGCCAGGGCCTCCCTGGTCTCCTCCAGCCTCAGCTCCGCATCCTGGCGCAAAGTCCTCTCGCTCTGCAGCAGCTTCTGTAGCTCTCGCAGCATAACGGCGTGGTCGCTCTGTTCTTGGGCTCGGTCGTGCTGCTGCGTGATCAGACGGGCTTTGGTCTCGGCCAGCTGTTCCTGGACAGACTTCAGCTCCGTCTCCAGCTTCTCGGTCTCATCCTCTGCTTTCTTAACGGCGTCATCCAGGTCCTGTTTCATCTTCCTTTTGTCTGCTTGGTACGAGGCTTCCATGCGGGACTTCTCCTGCGTGACTGTTGACAGAGCACTGGTCAAGGTGGCCAGCTGGGTCTTCAGCTGGAGCACTCTTTTATCAGCCTCACTCGCAGCAGATGGCACGTCCCCGCTGCTCGTGCTGATGCCGCTCTCTGAACCGCTCGTCTCTTCTGATTTAAGAGAGGAAGCGCCAGCCACAGGCTTATCATCCTCAGGCCCTGGCTCACCCTTGGTACTGGCCAGACTGGCAGCAGTGTCTGCACTGGTAGCTGTCCCCACGCTGTCTTCGCTGTGAACCGAGCTCCTGTCGTCAGCAGAATCAGCAAAGGAAGAGCTGGAGCTAGCCATAGACGCAGGCTGAGCACCACTCAAGCCAGTATCTGCCTCGTGAGACACAGACAAGACTTTTAAGCTGGCTTCCAAGGCTTCCTTCTCCTTGAGTAGGCTCTTGTAGGCTCTGACGACATCCTTCAACCGAACCTGGTACTGAAGAAGCTGCTTCTTCTGCGATTCAATAGTGTCTAGAAGATCTTTTTTACTCGGGCCACCTCCAAAGTTCATGCCAAACTTCTCCATGGTTCACACAATCTGGAAGGAGAGAAACAGTGCAGAGGCAGCAAAGACTCCCCGGCGATGGGCGGGAGCAGGCGGCTAAGCAGGGCCGTCACCCCGAAGCCCCCTGGGGACACGGCACGCTTGAGGACCCTGCGGCCAGGGGAAACACCTTAACGCCCCGTACAGCCGTTATCTGCTGCTGCAGGCGCTCCCCCCGCGGGCCTGTCACGGGGGTTTGTGTCTATAAACGGCTCAATTTTTACTTTTTAAGGGAAGCAGCCCCTTGGCTGCACAGCTGCTTGCTGTGGAGGTAATGCGAGCGCTGCCAGCTCCCACGCCTAGGGCAGGAGGGCACGGGAGGGGAGCACGGGGGGGTTCAGGGGGGCTCGGGGGCAGCCGCTGAGGCGAAGGGGGGGCGGTGCGGTGGCGGAGAGGCCGTGGCGGAGCGGCGCGGGGGGGGGCTGATGCCTGACGGGCCGCGGTGCCGTGGCGGAAGGGCTAAGCGCAGCGGGGCCGGGGGGTTTGTGGGGTTGTCACGGGTGACCGTGGGGGGTCCCGCGGAGGTGGGGGGGGGGTGGGGGGGGAAAGGTGGGGGGTGGGGGGGGGGGGGGAGGCGCTGTCTCCAGGGCAACCCCCCGGCGTCCCCGCAGGCCTCACCTCCGGGCCGGCGGCCGCCGCGCAGGCGCAACGCCTCACTTCCGCCGGACGCCTCCCGCCGCCGCACACTGCGCATGCGCCTCCCGCCCGCGGCGGGGTGGGTGTGTGGGTGTGACCAAAGGGGCGGGGCTACCAACCGGCGGGGGCGGGGACAAGCGGCAGGGAGTGTGGCCTAGGGGGCGGGGCGATGCGGGGAGCCCCGCGCGGCGCGGCGCCGCGGTGAACGGGGCTTTGTCGGTGATGGGCGTGGTCTAGCCGTACAGGGGCGTGGGGGGGCGGGGCCCGGTGCGCGGGGGCGGGGCCTGCTCAGCGCGGAGACAGCGGGGTGGCAGCGCTGCCGTCCCGTCCCGTCCCGTCCCGTCGGTCCGTCCGTCCGTCCGTCCCTCCCGCCGCCGCCATGGGCCTCACGGTCTCCGCCATCTTCTCCCGCATCTTCGGCAAGAAGCAGATGCGGATCCTGATGGGTGAGCGCGGGGGCGGCGGAGCAGGGCCGGGCGGGGGATGGGGATGGGGCCGGGACACGCACCGGGACCGGCGGCGGTGACACCGCCTCTTCGCTGCAGTGGGGCTGGACGCCGCCGGCAAGACCACCATCCTCTACAAGCTGAAGCTGGGTGAGATCGTCACCACCATCCCCACCATCGGTGAGCATCCCGGCACCGGGCAGGGCCCTCAGCGAGCACCGGGTACCGGGCAGGGTCGTCACCCCCTGCCTCTGACAGCCGGCACCGAGCACGGCCACCCCCTCCACATCCCCGGGTACCAGTTTTCCGTGGGTCCTCCGGTCCGAGCCCCAGGGGCTGTGTGGGGTGAGATGCGCTGTGTGATGCCCAGCGCTGTGGCCGCCCAGCCGTTACCCTCCCGTTATCTCTCCGGGTGCTGGGGCATGGCCGCAAGGCGGTGCCTGGCGGGGAGCCTGGCTTGCACCCCAAAAATACCCCCGGCCACCCCAACCAGCGCAGCGCCGCGGGCATGAGCCCAGCTGTGCCGTTACCCCGGCATGGGCTGGCTCCGGTCCGGAGAGACCAAAGACGCTTTCATAGGCTGGACATCGCTCAGAGCATGTGGGTCCAGGCTGCCTGAGCCGGGCAGGGCAGGGTGCAAAGCCTTCTGTGGGGTGCTCAGCACCATCACCCGTAACGTCTCCCATGAGCTGGTGGGGGCTGGTCACCTGTGGTCTGGCCAGGGCTGCTGAATGTCTTCATTAGCAACCTGGGTGATGGGGAGAGAGCACGCGGCAAGCCTGCGGATGGTCCCGAGCTGGGAGGAGCGGTTCTACGCCCGAGGGTCGTGCTGCTGTCCAGGGGCACCTGGGCAGGCTGGAGAAATGGGCAGAGGAACCTTGTGGAGTTCAACCAGCAGATTGCCAATCCCTTGGAGAGGAACAGCCCCAGGCCCTGGAACCTGGTGGAGAACAGCTCTGGGGAACAAACCCGGGCAGCCCCGCTGGGAAGGAACCTGAGCCAGCCCCAGGCACGTGGCCTCGTGGCTTGGGGCCACCAGACCCTAGGCTGTGCTGGGCAGAGCACTGAGAGTGGGTCTGGAGAGGAGCTCCTGCCCCTCTGCTCAGCTCTGCTGAGACACCTCAGGGTGCTGGGCCTGGTGCTGGGCTCCCCAGTGCAGGAGAGACTGGGGCATGCTGGAATAAGTCCAGTGCAGGGCCACGGCGATGGCAAAGGGACGGGAGCACCTCTCGTACGAGGAGAGGCTGGGAGAGCTGGGGATGTTCATTCTGGAGAAGAGATGGCTCGGGGGGGGGGGGTCTCATCCATGGGCGTAAATCCCTCGTGGGGGGAGTAAAGCGGAGCCAGGCTCTCCTCAGCTGCACCCAGAGGCAGTGGGCACCCTCTCCCCATTCCCCCCTTCCCCCCCGCAGGGTTCAACGTGGAGACGGTGGAGTACAAGAACATTTGCTTCACCGTCTGGGACGTGGGCGGCCAGGACAAAATCCGACCCCTCTGGAGGCACTACTTCCAAAACACGCAGGTATGCGGAGCGCGGGCCAGGCGGGGATAAACTTCATCAGCTGCGGCGGGGCTGGCCTGGGGTCCCTGGGGCTTGGGGCTCAATCCTGCCTGAACTGGGCGTGTGAGTGGTGGCAGGGAATGCGTCCCAGTCCCCGCTGGTGGCCCCACGGGGAGCACTGGGATGGTGCACGGGTGTTTGCCGCATCGTCCCGTCAGAGGGGAGCGAGGCAGAGGGGTCTGGCGGAGGAGCAGGCGAGGGGGAAGCGCCGTCCCCGGGGTGCTCTGGCTATGGAGAGGGTGCACGGGGCGGGGGGGGCCGCTCTCCCCCTTGGTTGGGGGGTGCCTGCAGCCCACCTAGGGTGCCCCCCCCGCCTCTTCTCCGCGCAAGCTGCCCGCTCCAGCCTGGCTTCTCCCTCAGGGTCTCATCTTTGTGGTGGACAGCAATGACCGAGAGCGAGTGCAGGAGTCTGCCGACGAGCTGCAGAAGATGGTGAGTGATTGGGGGGGGGGAGGTGTTTTTTGGTCTGGCAGGGAGGTGGGTGTCCCCCAGCCCTCCTCCCGGCTCTGCCCCTCTCTGCAGCAATGCCTGGGTGAGTGTGAGATGAGACCTGGGTCTGCCCTGCCAGGGGCATCTGTCTGGGCTTGGGGATGGGGCAGCGACTCCTCTGCCAGGCAGAGGCTGGGCCTGCAGCGATCGGGAGCAATTTCAAAGTGCAAAAATTTCCAAGAGAACGTGGGTTTAGGTTTTACTTAGTCAGGGCTTTGCTAGCCGAGCACCCAGGGTACACGAGGAGGGGGGGGTAGCATCCAGAAATGACATCCGAAAGCCAGCCTGCGGGGCGGGGGTCATTTAATCCTCGGTGCGGCTGTCTGGGGGGGCAGAGCATCCCTGGGGAGGGGAGCTGGCGCAGAGCCGAGGGTGTCGCGGCCTGAGAGCGGGGAGAAGGGACGGGCAGCTGCCCACTGCCCGCTCGCTGCGCGGAGAGCGTCGTGCCCGCTCTCTGGTCGCTGTGCCTCCCCACCCATCCCTGGAGCCCCTCGCTCCAGTGCGGGTGTCCCCTCTGCGAAGGGCGTGGGTGCTCCTGGAAGAGCATCCCGGTGCCACCGAGACTTCGGCGCTGGGGCCAGGAGGGCAGCCGAGGTGCTGGAAGCGAGCGGAGGAGGCGGAGAGTCCTCCCAGCTCTTTCGGGGCTGTCCACGCCGGGTCTCGCGTGCCGCGGCGCCGGAGGCTCAGCGCCCGCCTCAGCCGGCCCCGCTCTCGCTGCAGCTGCAGGAGGACGAGCTGCGGGACGCCGTCTTGCTGGTGTTTGCCAACAAGCAGGACATGCCCAACGCCATGGCGGTGAGCGAACTGACCGACAAGCTGGGGCTGCAGACGCTGCGCAGCAGGACCGTGAGTGGCCGTGGGTGCTGTCCCCGCCGCAGCGGCAGGGACCCGCGGGGCTGCTCCTGGGGTGCGCCGGGCTGGCCATCTGCAAAGCCCAAAGCCCTTTTCTCCGTCTCCCTCTTGTTTTGCAGTGGTACGTGCAGGCAACGTGCGCGACCCAGGGCACGGGGCTCTACGACGGGCTGGACTGGCTATCGCACGAGCTCTCCAAGCGCTAGCTGGGCCGGTGGCACAGGGTCCGGCTGAGCCGAGGATGTCTCTTCCAACTGCTGTTTTGTTTGGTTTTCTTTGTTTTATTGGGGGGGGCGGGGGCGTGTTTTTCCTTTCTCCCCAGCGTGGCCTTGTCTCTGTGTGTTTATCTGGTAGGACTTGAACCTCAAGGACTCTTCGGGCAGCTCCACTTCGTGGTGTCCTGCCTTCGTCCCGGCAGCACTGTGTGCTGGCTGCCCTCCCCACCTGCATGTGCCGTCTGCGAAAGCTCGCCCGGACCTGCCGGGGTGGCATGTCCCCAAGTGTCCCCGCTCCTCGCCGCGAGCCGGTGGCGGGGCTGAGCAGGACTGGGAGGCAGCCGTGCCGCTGCGGGACAGGAAGGATCCTCCTTTTTATCCTTCGATGAACTTTATAGTTCTCTTTCTCTCGGGGAGGGGGCGTATGGCTGCGTAACGTGCTGTTGTATCTCGAGTAATTATTAAACACCACCACTTTGTACCCTGCGCCCGGCGCGGTTCTGGCTGGCTGCGGGTGCCAAATTAGAGCCCCGCTCCCCAACGTGCATCTTCCGCGAGCATCTTGGGGATTTGGGCCTTAATAAAACCCTGCGTGCGCTCCGCTGGGACGCAGAGGAGGTGGGCAGAGGCTCCGACATATGTTTGCAAGCTCGTTTCCTTGTCCCCTGGTGCCAGGAGCGGGGGGTCTGACCCATTTTAGAGGCACCCCGGGGTGCTGTGGGGGTCGGTGCTGCCTCCCCACCGTGTGGGCTGCCAGCCCCAGGGGGGCCACTCGGGGGGGAAAACCCCGTGGGGTCAGCTCAGGCCACGTGCTGCAGCCATGTTAATTGGGTTGTAATTAGTGGGACCGGGCAAAACCCAAATGTTTGGCAGCCTGATGGCAGCCATGCTCTGGTAACGAGGCTGTCCCCGTGGGGTTACACTGGCTGTCCCCCCCCCAATCCTGTCCCTGTGGGGTTACACTGGCTGTCCCCCCCCAGCCTGTCCCTGCGGGGTTACACTGGCTGTCCCCCCCCCAGCCTGTCCCCGCGGGGTTACACTGGCTGTCCCCCCCCCCAGCCTGTCCCTGCGGGGTTACACTGGCTGTCCCCCCATCAGCCTGTCCCTGTGGGGTTACACTGGCTGTCCCCCCCCCAGCCTGTCCCCACGGGGTTACACTGGCTGTCCCCCCCCAGCCTGTCCCCGCGAGGTTACACTGGCTGTCCCCCCCCAGCCTGTCCCTGTGGGGTTACACTGGCTGTCCCCCCCGAGCCTGTCCCTGTGGGGTTACACTGGCTGTCCCCCCCTCCAGCCTGTCCCCGCGGGGTTACACTGGCTGTCCCCCCCCCCAGCCTGTCCCCGCGGGGTTACACTGGCTGTCCCCCCCCAGCCTGTCCCCGCGGGGTTACACTGGCTGTCCCCCCCCAGCCTGTCCCCGCGAGGTTACACTGGCTGTCACCCCCCAGCCTGTCCCTGTGGGGTTACACTGACTGTCCCCCCCCAGCCTGTCCCTGCTGGCTCTCCCCCTTGTAACAGCTCAGGCAGGTGCTCGGTGCACCAGCACCCATCCTGCTGGGGGGCTTCCACCCAGCCCAGGGGTTCCTGGCCAGGGAGTGAGGGGTCAGCAGGGTCAGGGCAGGGACCTGGCTCCTTTCACAGCTTGGGGAGCTGAGGGAAGGGGGACCCAGACCCAACCTCCTTGCTGGCAGACGTGGGGCTGGCCCTCTGCATGCCCCATCCCTTGGGGCAGCTGGGGGGCCGCTGGGGCCCAGGGGCAGAGCTTGCAGCACGGCTGCCCCAGAGCCCCAACTGCCACCAGAGCTGCTGCAGGTTGTTGCCTTTAGTGGAGAAAAGTGGGGGGACGGGATGAGATGGGGGAGTTTTCCTGTGCTTTGGTGCAAGGTTTCCCCAGAGCACTTGGCTCTGGGATGCAGCACCACGATCCAGACTGGTGCTGGCTCGGAGCTGGGATTGCTCACGGAGCAAAGACCCTGAGAGGGGGGGCCACGGGCTGGACACGAGGCAGACGCACCCGAGGTGGCCCCGTGATGGAAGGCGAGGGGTTCGGCCATGGCCTTGGTAGCACATGCCCATCCCACCTGATGTGGGGCACCAGGCACCAGCACAGCGAGAGAACCCTTGGGGACTGGGGACGGACTGGGAGATGCCATAGCCCGGCTGCTGGTGCATCAGCCGCTGGACCGCTCAGCTGAGAAACAGCCTCCCCAGGATCACAGCAGCCTCGAGCCTCGAAAGCTGCTTTGCAGCAGGGGACGAGGTGATGCCGGTGTCCCTGCTCGCTCCCACGGCTCCCGGGGGGACGGTTAATCCCTTGCAAGGTGGGAAATGTTTCATGGTGATATTGGATGACCTGTGCCCGTCGGCTCCCAGTGCCGGGCTCCCTCCCCTGGCCGATGCACCGTCCTGCTGGCACTGGGGACAGCCCAGAGCAGCAGCCTGGGGGTGGGGGACACACACACAAATCAGCTCTATATCCAACACGCACAACCCTGCCCTGCACCTGGCCCCGTGGTGCGCTGCGTGGCCGGAGCCCCGCTCTCCCTGCTCTCAGAGAGCCCAGGAACAAAAGGAACAGCCACTCACAGCGAATAATTTAATGCCCCAGTTCCTCCAGCCTGGCCTGGGCATCACCCTCAGGCTGAGCTGAAGTGCCCTGAAAATGCCAGCTGTAAGGCCACGGGGCGTCCCTGTGGCACCGACCACTGCCACCCCCATGCCAGCAGCCCGGGAGCGCGGGTGCCGTTATGCCTTTTGCAATTTGCTGCTCGCTTTGCCCTGTCCGCTTCCAGCCCTGCCAGTTCCCCACGGTCCCAGCTGTGCCGAAATCCCCAGGGACACGTCCCCTTGGCCACACCGAGGTCCCCAGTTTGCTCAGCGCTGGTGGCAGCGGCAGGAGCCCGGAGGAGCAGGAGAGCTTGCTGCCCGCTTGCTCCTCAGGGAGGCGGGGGGGTTGCAAAGCTTGCCGGTGCCCAGAGCATTGCAAAGCCACAGCGAAGGGTGGCAGGGGGGCGCGAGCACCCCGGCTGCACCCCAAACTGGGAAGGGCCCCCCCCACACTGCGGCTGCCGGAGAGGGTTCTCGGTGGGACGGCGCCTTCGTACGAGCTGCCAAAGCGGGGTGCTGCCCTGCACCCCCTCCCTGCAGCCAGGCACCCCGAGGGCTGGCTCCCCGCAGGCTCCCAGCATCCAGCAGCATTTCGAGTGCCCCAGAGGGGCACCCACAGACCCGACCGGCCCCCACAAACACCGTCCTACACCGTGTGACTGAAAAATACACCCCAACCCCTCCGAGTCGCTCCATGTTTCTGGAAGGAAAAGGCTCCTTCGGAGCTGCCACGGGTGGTTGGAGGTCCCGGGCTCGAGTGGGCTGTGGCAGGGAGGGGCTGCGGCTTCGGGCACTGCTGGAGCACGGTGGTGGCTGCTGGGCACAGCCCTGGTCTGCCACCGGCGCGGCGATGCCACCCAGCCTGTCCCTGTCTTCATCCCCGGGGCTGAGCATGACTGACACCCCACTGCCGTGGGCTCCGTGCATCCTTGCTCACCTCCATCCTACAAGATTGCTCAGTCATCGGCGACGTCCCCATTCCCATAAGGTTTTCCCCATAAGCTGGTCGGTAATACATGCCATGAGCTTGGCAGGTCTCAGCCCACCTCCCTGTGGGCAGCAGCGTTGCTGCCCCAGTCCCAGGACGCTGCCACAGCTCCGTGGGGACAGTGGCCGCTGGGCACTGTCCCTCTGAAGCTGTAAACTGGGAAAGCCTTGGGCTGAGCCCCCCCGCCCCAGCTGGCTTCCTTTGGAAAAAAACATTATCCTTCAAATAAAACCATTTCTTCAGCCTGCAGCGATGCTCCGTGCCAGCGATGGGTGCCTTCACCACGGCTCCACTGTTAAATTCAGCTTCTGAACCAAGAGAAACGCAAAACTTTTTATTGAGGGCAAGGATCTGCCGCGCAGCTGGGACCTGTCGGCTCTGCCAGGTCTTGAGTCGGGGCGGAGGGACCAGTATGGGATTGGCTGGAGCTGGTCCTGGCTGGGCCGCACGGTCCTGCCCGCCGATGTCCCGTCCGTGTGCCGGGACGAGCTCCAGCACTGCCGCAGCTCGGGGGCTGGCCAGCAGCTACGCCGGGGGGGCGGGGGGGGGCACAACAGCCACCGCGAGTTTTTTCCCCGCTTGCCCATCCTGCACAGCCCCTGTTCCCCAGCTCCGGAGCCTCCCCAACATTCCGGCTAGGAGATCTCCCTCTGGGCTAGAGGTTTCTCTGAAGGTGCCAGGAAAAGCTCCCATTTAACAGTGGGGTGCCCTCCCATTTTCAACAGCCCCCGACGGGAGCCGGTGCTTGATGGCTCCGCAGCAGGGATGCAGCATGAGCCCGGCAGGCAGGACAAGGGGACCCCGGCCGGGCTCCGCGCTGCTCCGCATCCTCCCACGCGTCCCCCGCCGAGCAGCACCCCGGCCCCCGCAGCAGGGGCATCAAACCGGGGGGCTCCACGGGGAGGAGGGACTCGGGGGCTGCTCCGGCAGGCTGCCTCGGGGCGGGGGGGGGAAGGGGGTGGCTGAGCCCCAGCTCTGCTCACGGTGGGCAGAAGCACCCAGCACGGTGCCTGCTGCCGTGGCGGTGCGCGCTGGTGCCCGCAGCAGGCTGGACAGAGCGTGGGCATTGGCCATCCCTCCCCGTGTGCAGTTAATTAACTTTTCCCAGAGTAATTTAAGAGGGTTATAAGTAGAGGGGGGGGCAAGCTTAAACTGGACAGAGGGATGCTAATGGGGGGAGGCGGCAGCAAAGCGGGGCAGTGACACTTCCAACCTTTCTGCAGTGTCCCAGAGGCTGGGGATGGCACTGAGGATGGTGACAAACACGCCGGTGTGACAAGGGGGTCCCCAAGGCGCTCGGCTCGCACTGCCTGACCCCAACCACAGTCCCGGGAACGTGGTTGTGGACCTGGCCCCCCCCAAGCCACCCCAGGCCATTGAGGAAGAGGCCAGTGGCCAGGCAAAGCCTGGCATCAAGCTTTGCTGCCTCGGGGGTGACAAACTCCCGCGGGGATGGATGCAGGTGGGTGTCACCCTGCAGCGGGAGGGCACGGTTCGGGGGGCTGTGGGGGGCTGTCCCCCCCATGCTGTGCCCCAGCTGGAAACACCAGCTGGGATCAGAGCAGGTCTGGGGTGGGGGAGAAGGGTGCAGGGTCTGCGGGACAGGCTGGGGGGTGCCGTGGGAGATGCGGGTGGCCCAGGGGAAGCGGCCGGATGATGAAGGCATGAGGGGGCTGTGAGGACCCTGCAGAACAGACAGCAGGACACCGTCTGTCCGGCAGCTCCTGCATGAGCCGCAAGGCATCGTCCTCCGCAAAGCCTTGCAGGGCAAGTTCTGCCCGGTAGCACTGGGATAAACCCCTCGCCCAGCTGGGAAGGGGCACGCTCATCCCCCTGAAAACCTGAGCCCGGGCGGCTCAGCAGGACAATTTCCCCCGAGCACCCGCTGGCCCTGGGGGGGCTGAGCTCCTGGGGGGGGTGTCCCGATTTAGAGGGGGCAGGCAGTGAGCTGCTGGTGGCCTGGCTGTCACCGACCCGCACCCGTGCACCGACACCCTTGGCTCAATGCGCTGGAGGGTGTCTCAGAGCCCCCCCATCTTGCTGGGGACCCTCAGAGCCAGGGGCACCCCGGTGTGTGGAGACAGGCCAGGGGCTCCGGTGAGCTGCCGTGGAGCGGCGGCCCCGGGGGGCTCAGGGGGGCTGTGGGCAGCAGGCTGGCAGTGGGGTGCAGGTGAGCTCGAGGGGGCAGCAGGGTGAAGGAGGGGCCCTCCAGGGGCTGCCAGGGACCTGGAGGGGGGCTGCTGCCGGGGGCCAGGCCTGTGGGATGGAAATGGGGCTCAGGCAGCGGCACGGGGCTGGGGAGCATCGCCCTCACCCCCAGCCCCGCGCTGCCATGGGGCAGGGGACACCCACCCTGCGGGAAACACCCCCCCATTGCTGTGGGGGATGGGGACCAGCTCCCCACCCCCTCCAGCACCCTGTGGGGTCTCCCCGGCTCCCACCCTGGCTGTGCCCAGGGCTCCCAGCCCCTCTCCCAGCCCTTTTACCGCAGCAAGAGTCATCCCAGGAGCAGGGGCCGGAGGCGCAGAGGTGCAGCGGGGCCGGGGGGCCGGGGTAGGCGGTGACGCCGTGGCCGTGGCCGTGGAGAGGCTGTGGCGAGCCAGCGGGGGAGGTTGGGAGGTGCTGCGTGGGGAGCAGAGAGCGGGATGTCACAGGGCATCCCTGGGGATGCTTTGGGACCAGGCCACCCCAGTGGGGACCTGCAATGTGTTACCCTCCGAGGCAGCTCCCAGAAACTGGGATGGCAGCGCCCGGAGAGCTCAGAGCTTGGGGTGCCGGCGAGGGGTCCCCATCACCCTGGCTGGAGGCTGCAGTGCGGGAAGGGCCCCCGGCCATCCTACCTGTGCGGGGCCGGTGGCTGTTGTGGAGAGGGGGCAGAAAGCAGCCACAGCCGCCCCACTGGCCAGCATCCAGTCACACCAGGAGCCTGCGTGGGGAGAGGTGGGGAGGGCAGCGTGCTTCTTTGGGGACCGTGTGGCCCCCCAGCCCTGATTTTGGGGTGGGGAGGGCTGCCTTTTACCCGTGGCAGGGTTGGGGCGGGGGGGGGGGGGGCACAAATTGCAGCTGTGTCCTCTCCCCAGCTCCCAGCAGGGCTCCGGAACTGGGAAGCAAACCCAGGAGTCCCGGTGCTCGGCGCCCAACTTCAACCACGCTCCTTCCCAGGGTGGCCCCTGCACCCCAGCCCCCTCCTTGGGCATCAGGTCCCGCGTCCCGTCCCGTCCCCTCCCGCCCCTGGGGCTGTCACCTGCACCGCCGGCCTCCAGCTTCTGCTTGGCCTCGCGCCTCCACCTCGCCCTTCGGTTTGAGAACCAGACCTGGGGAGGAGGGAGGGGGCTGAGGATGCCGGCCCCCACCCCGCGGCACCCCGGGGCCCCGGGCCGTGCTCCGGCTCCTTGGCTCCGCTCTTACCCCCGGGACAGGGGCACTTCACACGCCCCCGGGCACAGGCATGGGCAGAGGAAGGGATTGACCCTGCGTCTTCTCCGCCTCATCGAGGTGCCAGCCCGTGCCAGGCTCCAGGGTGCTTCTCTCCGACACGGGAGACATGTGTGCATGTGTGTGTGTTGTCACGGCGTGGCGTGACCGCGTGCACGGGTGGCTCTGCCCCCGCAGAGTGGGGCACTCGCTGCTGTCACTGCCCGGGGCACCGAGGTGGCCGGCGATGGGCCGTGGCTGGCAGGGGAAGGGGCTGCCAAGGACTGGCGAAGGTTTGCCAGCGGCACAGGGATGTCTGCCCGGAGCTACCGAGGGTGTCCTGGACGCGTGTTTGAGGGGTGGGTGCCACAGGTGTGCCAGGGAGCATGCCACAGCGCATGCCATGGCGTGTGCCACGGAGTGTGCCATGGATTGTGCCAGGGAGCACGCCACGGGTTGCGCCAAGCCGCGTGCCACGGAGCGTGTCCTGGCTCTGCAGCGCTGTGCTCTCCTCCCGGCACCCAGCAGTGCCCTGCAGCCTCCCCGGCCCCACGGCAGGGCAGAGCCGGGGGGAGCAGAGCGCGGGTGTGGGGCTGCCGTGGCCCGGGGCACGCAGCCGCTTGCCGCTGTGCAACGCGGGCACGTGTGGCCCGTCACGGGGAAGCCCGAGGGTCCCGCTGCCCTGACCCCCGCCTCACCCCGGCAGATGTGAGACCAGCACATCCCTCCGGAGCCACCACTCCTGCCCGTGCCCAGCCGTCAGAGGGTAGAGACCTCCGAGCTGGGGACAGAACCTGCTCTTAGGGGTCACCCTCCCCCCCTTTTCTGCTGCACGCACGAGCCCGTTCCCACCTCTGCCACCGCCAGAAGCAGTGACACAGTTTGGGGATGTCCCCAGCTGCCAGGAGGGAGCCCTGTCCCCCCCGTGCTGGCAGGCTGGGCAGCCCCGAGCCCAGCACCCCGGCCGAGATGCTTTGGCCAACAGGATCAGGCCCGGCCGGGTCTCCTCTTACCCTGATGGTTGTGTCGGGGAGTTGGGTGGCCGCAGCCAGTCTCTCCCGGGTGACGGTGTCCGGGTACTGTCCCCTCTGAAACTCTGCAAGGGGGATTGGGGCAAGATCAGCCTGGCCAGCACAAGCACCCCCCCCTCCCCATCCCTCCGGTGCCTCGGCAGGCGATGCCGGGATGCGCGGTCCATCGCCAGGCACCGGTGCCCGCGATTCGGAGCGGTTTGGGGCACTGCAGCGGTGGCCATGCCGTGCCAAGGGACAGGAGCCCAGCCAGAGAGCGGCAAGGCCGTCCCCTGGCAATGGCCCTGCTCCATCCCGGAGCTCCACGGCAGCTCGGGGCAGGCACGCCGAGTGCCCCGGCCTTGGCCAGCACCCCGGCGTCCCACGAAAGCCGCACCTTTCTCCAGGGCCTCCGACTGCCGGCTGGAGAAGACCGTCCTGTTCCTGTGCTGGGTGCTGAGCGGGACCCGCCGGCCGGACGCGGAGCCCCGGGGAGGGTGCTGGGTCCCCGGGGAGACGGCAGCACCGGCTTCGGCAGGCGAGCGGCAGCCCGGGGGATGCGGGGAGGAGGGGGAGGTGAGAGGGGATGCTGCAGGGACAGAAAGGCAGAAGGTGGCGGCGGCGGGGGGGAACCTGGCTCTGGGGGTGGGAGGGTCAGGGAGGGTCCATGAGCCCCTTTGCTTTGGGGGCACAGGGTCAGCGCAGGGGTGTGCGGAGGAGCCGCGTGCACGCACATGCATGTAGGGGCGTGTGTGTGTGTGTGTGTGTGCACGCGTGTGTGCGTGCAGCTGGGAGGCCGGCAGGAGCTCCCTGCCCACTCAGAGCAGGTCTCTCCCATGGGGTGCACGCCCCCCTGCCCTCCCAAACCCCTGCTCCCCACACCACCACCCCCAGCATGGCTCACCCCCCGGCAGCGCGTCCCCCGCAAATCCCCGCCGGGCCGCCAGCCGCAGGTCGCTGGGCAGGTTCCTCAGCACCCGGTTGATGGAGGAGACCTGGGCAGGGGGAGACGGGGCTGCAGCAGGGGCAGGGGGTGCAGGACCCCACGAGGGCGGGAGCGGGGCTGCTGGGCAAAACCCCCCACCCCCGGCGAGCATCCCTCCGCTCACTCCAGGAGCCGGGGGATGTGCTCAGGCAGGGAGGAATCGTGGTGGGTGTCCCAAAGCTCATCCCCGAGATGCTCTCCTGAGCACGTGCCAGAGATTCTCTGCGCCGGGGCCGTGCCCATCTGCTCCGCTCTTTGTTGATACAGGCAACCCTTTAATTTTGGCGGCCTAACAATATTTAATGTGAGGCAATCTGCACCTCGGGGCTGGAGACGGCGAGATTTATAGGGGTGGGTCTGTCATTAGGAAGCACAGCTCTCGGCGCTGACGCTGCAGATTGCATTTTATTGTCCTTGCCGACCCGTGGCACTTGTAACCGACCCAGCACAGCGTCCCAGCGCCCGAGGTGACGGCCAGGCTTGCTGGGGACGGCCGGTGGGGCTCTGCTTTAGCTGGGAGGGACCGATTTGCCTTCCCCTCCCTGCTTGCTTCCCCCTCTGCCGTCTCACCGAGCCCTTCCCTACGCATCCTCCCCCTTTGCCCCCCCACAGCACCCCAGCCGGAGGGTCCCACCGCCCCCCCCTCCCCGCAGCGCCTGGCCCCGGTGTCCCCGCAGCCCCCCGCGGCTCTCCCCAGCAGGGACTCACGCTGGGGGTCCTGTCGCTGGCGCAGACGCCCTCGGCATGCAGCTGCCGGCGGATCTCCCAGGCGAAGAGGGAGGGCTGCTCCAGCTTCAGCTGGGCGATCCTGGCCACCACCTCGGGGGTGGCCATGCGGGGCTTGCTGCCCCCCATGGCCTTGGGCTCCGTGGCCCCCGTCCGGTAATAGTGGCCCAGGATTTTGCTGACGCAGCCGTTGGACACCTGCGGACGGGGCGGCTGGGGCAGAGGCTCAGCGGGGAAAGGGTTTGGAGGAGAAGGAGACCCCCACACCCCCCGAGTCGGGCGCACCTTGAGGCTGCGGGAGATGTCCGAGGTCCGGACGCCGCATGCCGCCAGCTCGATGATCCTCTTCCTCTTGCAGGGAGGGAGGGGGCGGCCGTTCACAAAGAGACCCCCCAGCTGGTTCACGCCGCTGGGCCCTGGGGAGAGGCCGAGCAGGCGGTGACGGGGGACAGGGCTTGCTGCGAAGGGGGATGCTGCCTGTCCTTCCCTCCCCATCTCGCCGGGAGAGCACCCAACGGGACCTGCGGCTTTGCAGGGTGAAGGATGGGGTGGCATCGGGGACCCTTGTGCATTGAGGGGGGGGTTTGGAGGGGACCGGGCAGGAGGATGTGGAGCTTGGAGCAACGCAGGGCTCCCTCACTGCGGTGTGGGTGCAGGCAGCGCGTGGCAGACGCAGGCAGGGAACGGGGGGACCAGCCTGGGTGATGCTGGCAGAAAAAATACCCCATGGAGGAGCACGGGGAGAAGGAGGTTCCTCCAGGCAGAGGCAGCTACAAAGCGGGGGACAGGCTGGGGTGGGCAGGGAAGCGTTGGACATCCCCAGGGGGCTGGGAGGACCCTGCAGAGGCACATGTGCATCAGCTGCCAGCACTAAATTTGAGCTTTTGGAGGGGAAAAGCAGCCTCATTTGTGACGGAGCAGGTGCCGACGTGGCACCTCCCCGATTCCCCACTGGACCACGGACGCTGGGACCGCGGTCCCTGAGCCGCCCCGGTGCCGCAGCATCGCTCACCTCGGTGTTGCATGGTGAGGCTTCACGGGGCTTGCGATGCCTGGGAATTGCCAAAAGGAGACGGCTGCTGTCGTGAGGCCGGATAAATCAGTGACGGTGCCCAGGGCTCAGCCACGTCCCCTGCCCCTCCTCCTGCGAGGAGAGGAAGGGGGAGCAAGGGCAGAAATACGGAGCAGAGGATGGAGACGCTGGAGGGCATCTGGTTGCTTGGGAAATCACTGCACTCCAGGCAGGGCGGATCAAAGGGACCTGGGCTTTAAAATGCTCCCACGGCTGTAAGAGGCTCTGGGGCTCCGAAGTGGCTGGGGAGACCCCGGGAAAGCACCGGAGCTGGCAGCGCCTGCGTGCGCTCCCTTGGATGAGCCACGGGGGACGGGGGGGTTTCCCCGTGCCCACCCCGCTGCAGCTGAGCGCCGGGGTCCCGCTGGGTGCTGGAGGGATGGGGGGCAGGATGGGGAGCTCTGGGTTTATGCGCAACAGCTCCGGTGCTGGTTCAGTGGCTGTTTATCACCCGCTTTAACCCTTCCCTGCTGCCTCTCCAGCGGCTCCGGACATCAGCGCCTGTGCGTGGGGTCACTGCTTCCCCTCACGTCCTCGCCGGCAGCGTTCTTGCAGCGTATTTATTTATTTCAGAGGGAGGGTCTGGCCCTGCGCTCCCATTGCCCCGCTAAAAACCCGGAGTGGCTCAGCTGCAGCCGACGGCCGGGTTTGCAGCACCAAGAGCCTCGAGCAGCCAAGGAGAGGCTGGCAAGCGATAACTGGGCTAACAGGAGCCTCCCCTCCTTCGGCTGGAGACGCTCCACCACTCTGCCACCTCCTCTGCCAGCTCAGCAGGTCGAGGCTGGGTCTCCCCACACGCTTACACCCACAGTCCCAGAGCCCCTGGGCTTTTCCCCGTCCCCAGCGCCTCTGCCTGTCCCCTCCGCACCTTCCCTGGTTCCACAGCCTGACCCGCGGGTTTAGGCACTCATGTCCCAGCTGTGGGACACCCCCATGGCACCCAGCACCCCTGGAGCAAGTGCTGCCCCACATTCCTGCCCCGTCCTGCCCTACAGCTCCCCCGGGGTCTGCAGGGTGAATGCCACCTCCTCCCACCCTGGGGATTTACCGGCAGTGGGTCCCACCGGACACCTGCAGAGACACTTTGCTGAGTCCCGGTGGCCTCTGAGACCACCTGGGACCATGATGGGGTGAGAGCAGCCACTTGTCGTGGGGGAGATGGCCCTGGCGGGAAGCAGGGCAGGGTCACCACCCTTGTGTCACCAGAGACACGGGAGGTTTCCAGCCCCGTGGAAGTGGGAGGAAAGGCAGCGCAGCTCCAAGTGCCGGGCATCAGCCAAGGGGTGCGGCGGGGTTCAGGGCAGCACCCTGCCCCATGAAATGGGGGAGAGGGGACATTTCCACAGGGATGCTGGTGCCAGCCCTTCTCTCCAGGAGAACCCCACTCCCCTCGCTGTCTGCTCAGGCAGAACCACTCGTGGTAATTAATGAGCAGCACACCGAGCCGCGGAGGTGCCCCCCATGCTGGCGGCTGCTGCTGGCACTGCCTTGCCAAAGCCCGGGCAGCACCCCTGCTTCACCTGGGATTTCACCTGAAACGCCCTGAAAACTCCTGGACACCCCCAGCGTGGGGCTTTCCCTGCTCCAGCCCCCAAATCCCACCGCAGCCTTGGCACGGCTTGAGAATGTTGCTCGGAAATCCTGACCCTGGCTATGAAATTCAAGAAAAGCAAAATAAATCCAACAGTGTGAAAAGGCAGGTGAGAAGCAAACGCACCATGCGCCCGAGCTCGTTAGGGATGGATCGGCCTGGAGCGAAGTACCCAAGCCCAAAGCCCAAAGCCTTCTCCATGCTACAGCCCCCCCCACCGCCCAGTTCCTACTGGGAATTGCTTCCCACGGCTGCACGGGACAAGAAGTCACAGCCCCCCTGCCCCGCAGCAGCGCTCCCACGCCTGAGCTTGCCCCGTGCTCCCCGCCGTGCGTGTGCGAGCGCAGGTGGGTGTCTGTGCACACGCACCCCCGCACACCCCCACGCGTCCTGTGCGCACAAATGCGCGCTCGCACGCACACTTGCTCCTTCCTCCGCGCGCCCAGCTGCACACACACGTGCACGTGTGTATGTGCGTGTATTTGCGCACACGTGTGTGCGCGCGTGAGTAGGACTGAGGGCAGGGGTGCCCGCAGGGGTGCAAGGGGGTACCTGCGGAGCCTCGAAGGAGCTGAACCGGATCGTCCTCGGAGCCAAACCGGGTGCTGCCGCGCCAGTGTCCTGCGGGGCGGCTGATGAGCGAGCAGGGCCGTGATGTCACGGGGCAGGAGGAAGATGAGGATGGGGAAGAAGGGGCGGCCCGATGGGCAATGAGCGCCCGTGCCCAGCACACACCTGCCCCGGGGGGCTCCGTCGAGGCTCGGGGCTGGCTCGGGGCTGAGCCCCCCCCCGAGCCCCCGAAGCCAGCAGTGGGTTGGTGCCGGTGTTCCCGCCGGTATTGCAGCACTGGTGCCCAGTGGACACCGCACTCCCCACCACCCTGAGCATCCCTGGTCACCCCGACGGAGCCTCCCCGGGGGGCTGCGCTCCCGCAAAACAAACAGGGACAGACAGAGCTGCCATATGGTAAAGCACTTGGGATTCAATCATAAATCTAGATTCGGTTTTATTACATTTATTTAATTTTTTTTTTTTTTTTTTGGGTGTTGAACAAATAGAAGGCGGCCCGCGGTGGATGGGCACCACGGGGACTGCCCCGCTGTGCAACTCGAGGGCCCGGCACAGATGGCCCCCCTCTTCGGAGATAAAAAAAAAACCAACAAAAAAAAAAACACGTTGTAAACCTTTCAAGTAAAATATTTGAAGAGCAAATATTAGCCAGCGAGGAGCCCTGCACTGCGGCCCTCCGCGCCCGGCCCCGCGAGTAATTGAACGTTATTAGCACCCCGCTCCCGGCCCCCGCTCCGCGCACCCCCGCCCGCCTTTGCAAAATACCATATGCTCCGAATTACACATTAACCACGGTCCTGCGGGGCCCGGGCCCGGCCCCGGCCCCCGGGGAGCCGCCGCGCCGCCCCCCTGGGACTCCCCAGTCGCCCACCCCTGCCGTGCCCACCCGTGGGGAGCGCGGCCGGGCTCCCCGCGGTGCGGGGGAGCGGCAGCAGCGGGGCCCGGGCCACCCCCCCGCTCCGCCCCGGCTGTCGGGGAGCCCCGCCGGACCCCCCCGGGCCGGGCGAGCCCCGTGCGTAACGCGGCACCGGGGCGCAAGGCCGGGGCGAGGGGCTCGGCCGCGCTGCTGGGGGGGGGCCCGGCGGCGGGGGGAGGGTCCCGCCGCTCCCCCCCAACCCGGGGCGGTGGGGGTGCGGGCGGCGCGGGGCCAGGAGCGGCGGGGGAGGTCCCCCGGGACCGTGCGCCCCGGGACCGGGCGCGCCGGAGCGGGCGGGGGAGCGGCGCAGCGCACGGGGCCGGGGCGGCGGGGGCGGGCGGGCTCGGGGCCGGCCCGGTGGCGGGACGAGCCCGAGGAGCCGCCCGGAGCCCCCGGGGGCCGGCGGAGCTCTGCGCGCTCGGGGGAAGCCGGAGCGGCGGGGAGCGGGCGGTGCGTCCGCGGAGCGGCTCGGGCGCAGCGGCCGGGGAGAAGCGGGCAGCGGGGAACGAGCAGGGAGGGCACGGGAAGGGGGGGAACCGGGGTGTGAGGGGAGGAGAGGTGGAGAGATGGGGGGTGGGAGGTGGAAAGATGGAGAGGTGGAGAAATGGAGACATGGAGAAATGGAGAGGTGGAGAAACTGAGAGGTGGAGAGGTGGAGAAACTGAGATGGAGAGGTGGAGAGGTGGAGAAACTGAGAGATGGAGAGGTGGAGAGGTGGAGAAACTGAGAGATGGAGAGGTGGAGAGGTGGAGAAATGGAGAGGTAGAGAGATGGAGAGGTGGAAAGTTGGAGAGATGGAGAGGTAGAGAAATGGAGATGGAGAGGTGGAGAAATGGAGAGGTGGAGAGATGGAGAAATGGAGAGGTGGAGAGATGGAGAGGTGGAAAGTTGGAGAGATGGAGAGGTGGAGAAATGGAGAGATGGAGAGGTGGAGAAACGGAGAGGTTGAGAAAGAGATGGAGAGGTAGATAGGTGGAATGCTGGAGATGGAGAGGTGAAAAGATGGAGAGATGGAGAAGTGGAGAGCCAGAGAGATGGAGAGGTGGAGACAGGTATGGAGAGATGCTCCAGGGCCCGCTGTGCCGTCCGCATTTCATGCTTGCTTGTCATGTCTCTCCCATCCACCTTCCCCCACAGCTCAGGGAAGTTTTTGCAGACGTTTCTTTTGTGGTGGGAGGTGCAGCCAGCGCCGGTGTGCCGTGCAGCGGGGCGGTTTGGGGACAGGGCTGGGTGCGGCGGGATGGGGTCGGGCAGGACCGGGGAGGGGGGATGTCAGCTCCTCCTCTCCTGCCTTCCCCTGGGCCTGGGCAGTGCGCGGGGGCCCTGGGTCAGGCTCTCCACGTCCC